CAGGGTGCCTGGCATGCTGCTCCGTGACTCCCGTCTGCCCACAACTATTTCCAGTGCTGCAGAGCTGGCAGGTGGGGGGTAGGGATGTATCCTGACTGTGCCTGGGTAGGAGGGGAGCCGTGCTGCGGGGTCCTGCAGGATTTAAGTTCCAAACGTCAACTTGGCTGGAGGAGTTGATGAACCCAGAAGCCCCCAGAAGTGGGAATTGAAGCACTATGGAAAATAACGTGCAGAGATTGTTGCCTCTTATTGATAATTACGCACGTGTGTAAAATGTGAATGGAAAAAGCTCGAGGAGAGAGGAACGTGAAATCCTGTTGGCTCTGGGCTCCTGGGACATGAAACGTTCCCCCCCAGTGGCTGTGGCTCTGCCTGCAGCCCAGAGAGCCACTCTCTGGCTGTCCCTGGGCTGGAGCTCATGGTGGCAGCCCATGTTGCTTACAGAAAGAAGAAAGGCCTTTGCTGCTTTGGAAGATGTCTTCCAAGATGCCTTGGAAGATGTCAGCTATTTATCTTTCCTGTGTTTATTTGCACTTTGGAAAGGGACAAAGGCACCATCGGCACAGGAAAGTGCTGTGTTACCTCATCCGTCGCAGCTTGAAGGCTCTGCACTCTGCTCACAGTTTGGCTGAGAAGCAGCAGTGCAGTTTTTTGGGGGGTTTCACTCTTGGTTTTACAGAGCAGTTCACACATTGCCCATACACTGCTGTGTCTGCTGCAACGAGGCAGCCAGCATTGTCTGATGCAGAGAAATACAAGCGTGTGTCACTGAAGAGCATTTCGTGTCAAGATCAATTGAGGAATGATACCACTCTATTTATTTATTTCATTTTTTAAGTAATTGGTGTCAGAATGGTCTTTTATGCTCCAGTCCTGGTCAGTTCATTCTGCTCCCAGCGTGACAGCAAGGAGGACAAGGGCAGTGCATGGAAGGCTGATCCCCTTGGGTTGCACAGGCAGAAGCCACTTCTCCTGGGAGCAGCCGTCGGACCATGTGATGATGCAGATTGAAACTGATGCAAATTGGGAGGTGAAGCAAGAAGAGACTGGAAGCAGGAAAGCCGTGATCAGTTTTTTTTCTATTTTTAAAGCATTGCAGGAGCGTTGGTTGTTGCTCCTTCTCCTCATGTTTCCTTAATCCTTGTTTCTTCTAATTGGCATGTGGGTACTGTAGTGACTCCTCATAGGGAGCCAGATTTAGAAACAGAGAACTCGGTCTGATTGTGTTTCTCCACTGCCTTTTCCATCTCCCTTGCAATAAGAGGGCAAATGACATCTTCCAAGGAAGTGGTTTGTGGCCAGCTGCCTTGTTCCTGCTGTGACACTGTGCTGCAGATGGGCTTAGGAAGCCAATGTGGGTTTGAAATGCTGCTTTCAGTTCCCTGGTGCAGCTGCAGGAGTGGGCCAGCGTGCTGTCATGCATCCTCCAGCAGGGCCAGGTGAGCCCGGTGCTGTACAGCAGGCTCCAAGTGCTGTGATTTGAGGTTTGCTTTTGGTTTCTGTGGTGCCTGGTGAAGCACGGCCACTGCCTGTCTGTCCAATGACTGTGATGTCGTTGGACCAGAGCTGGAGATCGATTCTCTCAGGGATGGCCACCGTTCCCATCATGGAAGTGCCCCCAGGTGCCATTTGTGTGTGTGTTGTCAGGATGGATGCAGGATGGAGCATCCATTGCAGGCTTAACATGTTCCAAGGACTTTGGATTTCAAAATGATCCAGCTCTGCTCTGACCTTCGCTGACTCCTTTGTTTCCCACCGAATTCCAGATTCAAAATAAAGCTCATTCCCTCTTCTCAGTGTTTCAAGCCCTTCCTGTCAGCTCAAGGCACAGGAGATCTTCAAAGAGTGCATTCCTCTAAAGGCTCTGCATAGAACCCCAGGAGCTGCCCGTGGTGGGATGCTGCTGAAGCAAGGTCAGGGCTGCTTTGGCAATTCATGCTCAGAGCCATTGTGAGCCCTTAAGTACCATGGTGCAAAATGACCATGTGGGCCTCAGGGATGCTTGGCTGCCCCTCAGCTCTTGGCAGCCCGGGGAGGGGTCTGCCACCCAGTGAGCAGCAGTGCAGTGGTCTCTCCAGGCTGTGAATGTGGGTCTCACTGGGTGTTGTGAAGGGAGTGCTGCAGGAGCAGAGTGAGCAACGGTGGGTGCTGCTCTCCACAGATGAGTGCACCAAATGCTGCAAAGGAGTTGGACTTCTCAGGGAAATTGCTTGCATTCGTAAGGCTGTCATCCTGTAGTTGATGGATTGGACGAGAAGAATAAAATGAAGAGAACCTTTGTTTACTATTATCATTACTGTTTTCCCCTGCTCTTACTGACTACATTGCAGCAGTTATTGCTGTGCCAACAGCAGGGCTGCCCGGGAGCTGGGATGGAGCGGAGCGTGCTGTGCACAGAGCCAATGGTTTCTGTGCTTTGGTATCGGCAGCGTTTTGGACCCCATCCAGGTTATTATCACTGCTTACAGAAGTAAAAGCAAACTGTGCACTTCAAGGTCACAGACAAAAATATGTCCCTGAAGTTTGGCTCTTTGGCTTGGGGATTTTGGGAGATGATGAGCAGTTTGGGGTAAGAGTATTTTTGTCCTGTAACCAACGGCTGACCAGAGGAGGGCACAGCCCTGCACAGATGCAATCTTCTCTCTGTCTGAAGCACGACTGAGTTCTCAGTGTCTCCTCTCCTCGCTGGAGCCTATTTTAAACCCAAGCAGCGGTGCTGCCTGTTGCCTGGAAACCTCCTCCGAGCCCAATTGTAGCCATCCGCAGCTCCATTTATTTCCTTTCCAAAGCACCATCCCAGGCTTCTGCTTTGTGCTTTTTGTTTGCTTGGCTTGTTTATTATCTAAACCAAGAAGGAACAAAACTCAGTGACTTTGTGGGAATGTTTTTTTTTTGCTTGTCAGCACATTGTGGTGATGGCAGCTGGAGTTTGGCACCATGTAAGGGTGTCCAGGCAGAGCAGGGCTGGGAGCAGCCGGAGCTGGGAGGATGGGTGAGACCCAAAGGGACCCCCAGCTCTACCACCATTGGGTCTGGGGGTTCTTATGCTGCTCTGTGACCGTCTCCTTGTAAGGGAAGAAATATCTTGGAGCCCTTTCTGCCCCCAGTTCCTGCAGCTGAGCGTGGTCTGGTGTCTCTCCCACAAGCTGGGGGCTCACCATGATGTCAGCACCCCTCCTGCAGAGCTGTTGGTTGGAGCTTTGTTGTCACTGCAAGCTGACAGATGAATGGAGGGAAGCACAACCTGGAGATTTCTGTGTCTATGGAGCCCTTTTTAATTCACTTAGCATTTGCCTAAATGATTGGCCACCTTGGAGCCTTAATTGGCACAGCCTCTCCCGCAGGAAGGATTGAAACAATTGCTGTTTCTGCTTGGGTAGAGAGCACCATCAATCCCAGAGGGATGAAACAGCACTGATTGCAGGAGCCCAACTGCAGTCCTCTGTGGTTCTGCCCAGGGAGCGCCAGGGGAGCACTGTCCCTGGGTCACAGGGAGCTGGTGGCAATCCAGTGAGCAGCAGAGAGTTGGAAGGCGAGGTGTAGCCGCTGTTTCAGCTGTTTGCAAGCAGTCCTTGTGATATAAATGACGCATTCTGCAAAAGGGAGAATGTTGCTTTGTTCTCCCAGAAGCGGCACTGAAGGAGGCTTTGAGTTGAGATGCAGTTGAAAGGTTCATGGTTTACTGTTGGCTGTTTGTGTTGTTTGTTTTAAAGAAATCGTGTTGCAGAGCAGAGAGATGCACGAGGCTCATCGAGTCACTGCTTGAATCCAGTGTTCAGACTCTTCTCTGGGTGCTCTGCAGCATCCTGGACAAGGTGCTGGGGTGCTAAGGCTGAGGTGTGGGGGATGGATGCTTCTTCCATCCCCATCTTTCACTCAGTGCTGATGACTGAGAACAAACAGACCTATATACCAAAGAAACTGAGAGCAAATGAGTCATGCCCTGATGCGTGTATCTTTGCTTCTTTAGGGAAGGAGAAGAGCACTGTAGAGGTTGCAGATTGTGGCATAGTCACTGGGTTCAGGCACTGTTATTTAGTTGGGCAGAAGGTTGGCAATGTGATGAAATATTTCTGCTTATCTGAACTCTCCCATTAGCCGTTAGGAACAGAAGGACCTTCTGTCAGCTCCTCTCTTCTGGACCTGCTCTGCCATTCTGTACAGCAGGTGCACAACCCACCCCCAGAGCCCCCCCACCCCGTGTCACTTGGGCTGGGTTTGCTGCATGGTGCCCAGCACAGTGCAGTGATGTTGAAAGCAGAACTGGTTTAGTTCTGTAGTGCTTTGCACGTGGGCCATCTGTGGCTTTGCTGCGGAGGAGTCTTGGACTCTGCCAGACGATCCGTGGACATTTATTGCCTTTGTTTCTAAGCAGCACTTCCCGCACAGGTGACCAGCTCTGTCCTGCTCCGGGGGAGGGAGGAGACAGAAGGAAGAACAACGTGTGTATGGGGGAGGCAGGAACGGGAACTGCAGAGAAACAGTGGAAACTGCGTGGTCACAGATGGTAAAGCGAGAGGGTTCCTCATCCTGACTGGGCTGGAAGCGTGAGCAAACAAAATCACGCTGCTCATGACATAGCAAGGGAAACAGATCGAGTGCTTGGGGAGAACACAGAGCTTGTCTGCCTGGATTCAGTGCTGGAGGAGTTGAGAAAATAAAATGGAGGAGGAAAAATGAGGGCTAAAACGCACATAATGGGTTTTCCCTGGTTAACCTCTCCCAGCTGCACGCAGTTGGAATTCATGTTAGAGGTTCCTTGCTTTGTAGCCTGTAAGTTAGTTCTGTCTGAGGCGGTTCCCCGTTAGGACTGATGTCTGTCTGTCATTTTTCTGTTGGCTGTCAGAGGATTTGAGATGAGGCACAGCAGCGCAAGGTGTTGTGGCAGTGCTGGGCTCTGAGCAGCGGCTCTGCAGTGCTCCAGGAAGCAGCTCTTTGTTGGCTTTCTGACCTACTGCTTCTCTGCAGCTCTGCTCACCTGTCTGTTTTCTCCCTTCCAGAATGAAGAGAAGAGGAACCTTTCCCTTGGGGGCCATGTTGGCTTTGACAGCCTCCCGGATCAGCTGGTCAGCAAGTCTGTCACGCAGGGCTTCAGCTTCAACATCCTCTGTGTGGGTGAGCACAGTCCTGCAAGCAGATGGGGGTGGAACGGGCGGTGATGGGGTTGGGACTGTGTTTCCCTATGAGTCCTGCTGGGAAACAGCCCCAGCTGTGACCTTGAGCACGTCAGAGATGCCTGGCTTTGAAAGAACAGCAGCCCATTTCCCACAAAAAGAGCAACCAAAAAACAACGTTCCATCCCTCCCTACAAGACAGCACCCAGCCTCCTCACCCTCCTGCTTGGGGTTGAGTGAATCAAATCTCAGAAATGTGATCATTTCTGAGCTGCAAAAGGGATGGGGGAACAGTTTTTGTAGATTGTGAAGTGTGCATCTTGAGGACCATGAGCAGCTGCAAGGGGTAGACTTCAAAATAACCTCATTATGCTCTTGTTGTTTTAGTTTTGGTATTTCTGTCATTTATCGGGTCATGCTGGCTAGAGTGCTAGAACTGAACTGATTCCAATGATGAGAGCCTTCCTAGGAGCCCAGAGAGAGGGAGTAGAAGTAATGGAAGTGATGGACTGCCTGCAGAGCAAGTAGGGCATGGAGGGCTGTTTCCTTGGAAATTTGTCTGTGCTCTCCTGGCCAATAGAGCTGTGTTTTGTGAATGAGGAGTTTAAATAGGGCCCCTTGTGGGTCAGTCTGGAAAAGATCAGTCTCATACATTTACCTGCAGCAGCACTTCAAAGCCCTTTCACAGAAAGCCATGAGACAAATAATCTGGGCTGGAGCTGGGTTTGTCATGCATTCCAGGTATCCTTCTACAGCTGCTGGAAATGGGGCTTATGGATGGGAAACTTCAGAAACTTGGTTCTTCTTTCAACTCCTTGGCTGGTCTGGTATAAAGAATCATGGGGCAGTAGGGCAGCCTTGAAAGAAACAGAAATTACAAGGAGAAACTCCAGTAATCAGAAGTCATATGAGGTGAAACCAGCTGAGTTGCAGACACCATCTCTGGGCTGGGTTGCAACATCTCCTTGTGCGGCTGGAGCTCTTCCGAGCACAGCAGCGCCTCCTGCTCCAGCAGACAGCTGTAGCTATCTGTACAGGTTATCTGTATGCATGGATTCTCATACCTGTGTTGTTATTTCCTCCAGTTCAGCTGATGTCTGTTGCACGGGTGTCACCAAGCAGAGATGTGCTGTCTGTGACACGTCTGTGCAGAATGGCACTGTGCTGGACAGCCTGCACGTACCAAGGCAGATCTCACTGAGCGCTTGTGAGGAGCTTCCTTTGTGCTCAAAATGAGGAAGAATTCCACCTGCTGCTCCCTGATGTGTTTCTTTAGCTAGCTTCCCACCAAAAAAGGCTGTTTTTCTGCCTGCGGCTTGCAGGCTGTGTGATAAAATCAGTGTGTACACGCGCCTCTGCCTTCTGGTTTGAATGTGCAGCAATGCTTTTCCCTGGGTGATCCAATCCACATTGTCTCTGAACTTTATCATCTGACAGGGCCCAGATTTCCCCTGGCAGAAAAGTGAGCAGGCAGCAGCACAGCCCCAGCACTGCCAGCTAAAGGCAGAGCTGTGCCTTCAGAGGGGAGAGCTGCAGAGCTGGTTTTGGTGCAGCTGCTGCGTGGATGGAGGGAAAAAAGATTACAGCAGAATGGGCTTTAGTCCTTTGACACACTAACTGTACACGTGGGACCCCAGCACCAGGGGTGTGCAAGAGGGACAGGCTGATGTAAGGCGTCCAGACCAAAGTTCAGCTGCACAGAGAAATCACAAAACTTCCATCTCAACTTTTTCTGCTGTGGAAGGAGATTTTTAGTCTGATAGCAAGTGGTCCTTGCAGATCTGTTTGAAGTAGGCACCCTGATTTCCTTCCATATATCTCTCTAGATGGGACAAGTCCTCAAGGGACTCCAATGGTGAGACAGAGAAAGCAGTTAAAAAGCCTGCTGGGGTTAGAAATCCCACAGAAGGGAGTGAGAGGAAACCTCTTTGTCAGACTTGCCTGTCCCTTCTGCAGTACAGCAGGACCCATTGCTGTGCACTGAGTGCACTGTGTGTCCTGGGCTGCTGCTGTGTTTGGGATTGGCAACACCTGAGCCAGACCATTCTTGCCAATAGGAACAGCTGAGTTTTACTCCATCTCAGTTGAAGGCTCAAAAGCATTGTACTAAAACTCTTCTTCTCGGCTTCTCTGGTACAGGTCCCAAGCAAAGTCAGCATTGGTGAAGGGGGAAAAATGCATTCTATATTTGCTGAATTTGCTATATTCTCTTTGCTGAATGTCCCCTGCTGGGAGGATGAGCTGCATGCTGGTGCAGGAAGACTTCAAGGATGCTTTGTGACAATTATGTCTGGCCACAAACAATTTGTAGCAACCTTTCACATTATAATTTAGTTCTTCTCTATAATTAATACCCTTTGAAGTGATAAATTCATGCTGTGGTGAACTGATGACTTCTCATTCCTAGGTGAGACGGGCATTGGGAAATCCACACTAATGAACACACTCTTCAATACCACGTTTGAGACCGAAGAAGCCAGCCACTATGAGAACGCGGTTCGCCTGCGGCCACGGACCTACGACCTGCAGGAGAGCAACGTGCACCTGAAGCTGACCATCGTGGACGCGGTTGGGTTCGGGGATCAGATAAATAAAGACGAAAGGCAGGTCTCGTGCCATCTGCTCGGCGCTTGCAGGCTCCTCTCTGATGTTTTGACACAAACTGCCCATCATCCTGCTTGCAGTCCTGCAGGGGTGGTGCCCACGTTTCTGTTAATGCAGAAGCTCCCTGCAGTGCCTATGGTTTTGGGGGCTGGATGCAGGGGGAGCTGGGCAAGGAACCAAAAAGAGATGGGAGGGGTCACATGAGGTCTTTCCTGAGGAATGCGAGCAGTGAACAAGCTGTCCTCAGCACGGGGTTGGGAATTAGCTGCTCTGGCCGTGATTGGTGTCTCTGGGCCTGTCTCATTTAATTACATCTTGTTCAAGCCCCAGGTAGAGGCTTTCTGGGACTCCAAGGTCTCTCCTTGTCATCTGGCGTTGCTGCAGCCAGATGGCTCAGCCCTGCAATCTCTGCACTGTGATCTGTGGAGGTGGTTATCTTCCATGCTCCACTGTCATTAGGCTTTGCAGCGCAGCCTCGGGAGGTTCCAGAAACCTTTGGATTAAAAGGTCTGTACATAAAGGCCACGCTTTTCCCTTGTAAGGATAAATTACTTCGGTCTTAATCAGTATCATGATATGTCTAGGAGAATTCCTTAAGCCTTCAAGCTGTGTGATTTTGATCTCCAGTCTTTGGGTTGCTAATGGTATGGTTTTAGTTACAGGCCGATAGTTGAGTACATTGATACGCAGTTTGAAAATTATTTGCAAGAGGAGCTGAAAATCCGCCGTTCTCTGTTCAACTATCATGACACGAGGATCCACGTCTGCCTGTACTTCATCACCCCCACTGGGCACTCCCTCAAGTCCTTGGACCTGGTGACAATGAAGAAGCTGGACAGCAAGGTAAAAGGTTGGAGACTGGTGTCCCCTTCTGGAAGGGGTGATACTTGTGCTAATATTGCCATGAGGAAGGCTCTGTGCCTTCTGTGTACCAGTGCTGGACACTTCTGCACCTTAGCTGAGCACTTTTTAGGGCTTGGGTAGAACTTGGTCTGCCTTGATGGTTGATGAGGTCTTGTGCTGCTTTCCTGAAAAACAGCAGGTGACAAAAGAGCAAGTGGAGAGTTATCCAGATTTGTTCATTTTTATGACAGCCATCGACTGCATCTCTGTCAGCTCTTCTTTAAGACTGCAGGTGAGGATCATTTGAGATCCTGCAGTTCCTGTGGCAGGGCCCCCTGTGCTACACTGGCCAGCAGGGAGAGGGACTGAGTGCAACCAAGTAGTGAACTTCACAAGAGAGGGGCTGGTGCAGAGGAGGCGAGGGCTGAAGAGAAGTGCTGTCTGTGCCCAATGGTGTGCATGAGCTGCACTGCTGGCAGAGCTGGGCAGTCTGCATAAGCGTTCACAGTGCCTTATGACAGTGTAAATATGATAAGAAACTCACAGGATTATAGGAAATCTAGAAGTGGGTCACGAGAGGGTCCGACTGGGGGCTGTTTGTTTGCACACGAGCAATTGCTGCCTTAGGGAACAGTGGGTTAACCGGCCAACCAGTGATATTCTTGCAGCTCAGAGGAATTTTCTGGCACACTTTTGATTGTTCTAACTGGCTTCTAGGGAGCTGCAGGGACGCTTCAAGGGTCACTAATGACAGCAGCATCTCTTCCTATCTTTGCAAGAATTTCCTGCCTTTAAGAGCAGTCATTAAGCAGCAAGGTGGCCCCTCTCAGATGGCAGATGCTAATCCACTTATGCAGAGGGCAAATGAGGCAACTGGGACCCTGCAGTAACCTGGGGTTGCCCTGAACTGTATGAAGGGAACATGCTCTTCTCTGGCTGTTGATCACATGCAGCGCTATTGGACTTTCCTGGTGGGCACAGCTCCCTTGGCAGTCCCTGCTGCTCGTCCTCACCACCCGGGGCAGCTGCCCTACTTTTCCTTGGCCCTGCTCCACAGTAGGCACTGGCTTCCCATTACAGTGGCCTGCTGGTAACCATGGGGGCTGCTACACTGACTTCATCAAGAATCTGAAAACTTTCCCTTAATAAACTCTGTCTCTTGGTGTTGTGCCAGCATGACATGTTACCAGAAATATGTTTGGAAGAAAGCAGTTGCACAATTCCCCTTGGTGCTGGTGGTCCCACAAAGCCTTTTTCTGCCTTTGGTTCTGCATTCCCTCCTTTTCACATCTCCCTGTGGCTGCTTTTAATGTGGTCCTTGCATAGTACCAAAATAAATCCTTTGTGCTTGTGCAAAGATGGGAACTTTGTGTGCACACAAGCTTTTTATATTCCTAAAGTTCCACTTCAGCGGTCATCTCTGAAGTCACGTTATCCATTTGCTCTCATCTCCCTGCTTACCATGGTAAGAATGTCTTGAATTTCATGGCATGTTGGCCTTGCACAGGTGCATACAAAATAACAATAAGCAAAGAGAGACCACTGGTCTTTTGTGCATGTCAGGGCTGTGTGTTGCATTAATCCATCGGTATCATCCCGGGGCTTTGAGATGCGTTCCAGACATTCCCTAAAATACTGACAGTGCTGTGCCCCTTGCCAGTGCACCTGAACTGTTTGCTCTTAGAGGCCAGCACATGTGCAGGGTGGAGCTGGGTGTAAGCAAACCCCAGACAGCTTTGTTTCTGCTCCGGAGCAGTAACAGCAGTGCTTTCTGTGTTGGAGCAGAGAGGCGAGGCACGCTGACTCACATCCACAGTGGTGTGAGCAACCTGAACCTGCTTTCTTGGGGAGCTTTGCGTGGCTGTGGCCTTTGTTTTACAGTGGAAAAGTGGGGCACACAGAGGCAAAAGGTACAGCAGAAGCATTGCTTTGCAGCATGGTGTGCTGGCTCACCTTTTGAGACTGGTTTAACAACGATTGCACAGGACCCTGTTTCAGTTACACCTTTGCTCTAGCACGCCAGCAGCATGGCAGCAGGTGTTGGGCAAGCTGCTGAATCTGTCATGATTTCAGTAATGCATCTTGCTTCGAGCTTACAAAATCCCTTCTGGGCAAAGCTGTTCTGTAAACAGAATCTTCCATTGTACCGTAATACAATATTCGATTGGCTGAGCTCATGGCCAGCTGTTGTCTGCGGTATTGAATTACAAGAGAACTGGAAGTATCTTCAGCATGGTTTGAGGTAGATGGAGCTGGCTGGTTGCTCCATAGGAAGCAGGTACACCCTGGCAGGAGTGGGCTTCCCTATGTATTTTCCAATTACAGCCCTACCCTGAAAAGCGATGGCATAACAGTGTGCTGCCCTGGGCACCCCTCAGCTGCCTGTTTGCTGTCCCTGGATGGTTTCCATTTCTGTGTGTTGTTATGAGCTGTGGCTAATTGCCCTTCGTGAGCTGACATGTCCTGGGTGGTTCACCAGCCAGCAATGATGCTCCAGGCCACTTTGTGCATGTACTGCTTGGTTTCCAAGGCAGGATTTCACTGTTGGTTTAGTTGGGACTTGCGTTTGGGAACACTTTGGAGATGGAGGGGGGAGAACCCAATTGTATTTTGTATTTCACAGAGTAAAAATGCATATGGTCATACTATATTAGGGAAAAAATATTTTCTCTCATCGTTCTTATTTGGTTACATTCTTGAAAGTTTTATTTTTGGAGATGAGGAACGGCTCTGTGGTCAGAGAGATGTGAGAAGGAGGTGATGTGTGCCTGTGAGGTTGCTTTCTCATCTGAAACACGCTTCCTCTGCTCAAAGATTCCGTCTGCAGCAAAGACTGTGAGCACCTGCACTCGTTTTCATGCAGCTTCTGCATGCCTGTCTGATTCAGCTGGCTGACATTCCAATAATTAACTTATTGATTTTGATATTAGATTTTTAAATGGAGGATAGCATCCTTCCACCAGGAGATATGAGGACGTTGCTCTGGGGTTTTACCTGCAACCCACGGTGATCCAGCTTGTGGCTCCCTAGATGTGCATGAAATCAAAACCCAGTAATTTTGTGCTTACATATAAAATTAATGAACTTATGAGGGAAGAAGAGGGAAGGAGAGAAACACTCCAGTGCCTTGGAAGTCTCAGCAGCCCTGGGAAGGTGGACTTGAGCTGGAAGGAGGTGGTGCAGTCAGTGTGGCTGTAGTCCTGGTAGGTTCCTGCTGGTTCCTTTCTTACTGAAGGGCAGCTGCACATATTTGTGTCAGGAAGAGATGGAATGATCCAGGACAAATGTAGCTGAAAAAAAATCAGAGCCTACTGAGGTTCTTTTGCTGTTAATTAATTGTTGGCATTTGCGTTGGTGTTGGCTATTGATTACTGAAAATGCAGCAGCTTGCAGAGCCCTTTTGGGTTTTGAACACAGTGATGGACTTCCCTTTTTGGAGCTTGGTTAGAAGGGACTTGATCCATCCTTGGGTTACAGCTTTTCTGAGTTGTGCCTGCTGCTGGGAAGGACACACCGAGCTGCAAGCAGGGCTGAGCTGGTGCCTCGTGGGAGGAGAGGGGGCAATGAGTTAGGCCAGCTGAGAACAGACTAAAATCGCCTGTGGTGCTCATTTATCAGCGTGCCAGGCTGCAAACACTGCAGAGCACAAAGCCCTGTGTGTGGCCGTGTCTTTCTGCTCCTGCATGGGAGCTGATGAGCCCCGAGCTGAGCCTGTTGTGTGGGATGTGGTAGCAGGTCAGTGAGGCACCAGCTGTGGGCATGGCCCCTTCACCTTTGTAATGGGGACGTCTTCCTGCTGAGGAGTGGAGTGGGGCCAGCAGACCTGGTTCTCTGTGCTTTTCAGGTCTTTGGTAAATGAGGCCAGAGCAGTAGCTGGGGAGAAAGTAAGGATTTCATCTTCTTATGCCCTGTTCCCAGGCAGGTATCTGAACTGTTAACACAGCTGCTGACTCCAGGGCATCCTGAAACTGTGCCCAAAGGAGAATGTGGGCCTCCTCCTGTCCAGCTGCAGGCGTGATGTGGGCAGGAAATAGTTTGGGGGCAGCCAGCAAGTTAAGGAGATTTTCTTTTGGAACAAGGAAAAACATTTATATTTAGTGAGAGCTAAACCAGAGCGGGGAGGAAGGATGTAAGAAAAAGCACTGAGCTACAGACAGAACTGAAGCTGGAAAGCAAGGCCATTGATTTTAGTGGGCACTCACTGGAGAACAGATGGCTGCTGTGGATTTCTGCAGGACAAAGAGCATTGGCTGTGGGGAAGCGTTAAATGGCAAATCTCTCCTCTCATTTCATTTCTCTGCATTCCTGAGTTGTGCTGCTCTGAGTCTGGCTGCCATTCAGGCAGGCTCGTGGTGCTGTTCAGGCTGGGTTTGCAGTGCTGTGCGTGGCTCCTGTGGGCTCAGCAGTGCTCTGATAGCAGCCCTGTGAGTGCTCCTGCCTCTGCTGGCAAGCGACTGTGGACTTCTTGCTCTTTCTGCTTCAGCACAGGAAGGTTTCACACCGTCTTGCTGCAGCATTTCATCTTTGCACTTGTCTTCCAAAGCAGCTGTTCAGCACAGCCAGCACTGACAGGGTGACGACTGCAGATGTGACAGTGATAATGGCTGTGTCTCTGCTGAAGCGTGTAGCAAAACACACAGGCAGGAGCAGAGGCTTTGATCTGCTGGTTGGGTGCATTTATTGCCATTTGTCTGCAAGGCGTGTAGGCAAATGAGTGGAAAACTCTTCCCTCTGGTGTTCAGTGCTGCCGCATCTCGCAGGCACAACCTCAGCTCCCCCCACTGCCCGGCTGTGCTGCTCACCTCTGCTTTGTCCTTCCTTCTGCTTCAGGTGAACATTATCCCGATCATTGCCAAAGCAGACACCATCTCCAAGAGCGAGTTGCACAAGTTTAAGATAAAGATTATGAGCGAGCTGGTCAGCAACGGTGTGCAGATCTATCAGTTCCCCACGGACGACGAAGCAGTGGCTGAGATCAACTCTGTGATGAATGTGAGTAATGCTGCCAACTGCAGGGCTTCCAGAAGTTGTGACACATTGAACTGCTGTGCAAAAACTCGTCTGAAAGGCAAGTTTCCTTGGGATTGTCCAGATGCTAAATCTGTTTCAAAGTCGAGCTGTGGATCTGACAGATGCCTGAGGCTGTCGCATACAGAATTAATTAAAATGTGGCTCTTATTTAATATCTGCAGGCTCTCTGGAGACGCTCATCTCGGCTCTAGAATTGGATTTATTGGATTTCTGAAAAATACTTCCTTCAAAATTCATTTTATCTGTTTTTAGGCTGCTTATCATTTGAGGAGGGAAGAACTTCGAATAAGAAATTGACAGTTAAGATCTACGTTATCCTTCCACTTAAGGACACTAAGCAGAGAGAACCCAATTTGAAGAAGGAAAAACTGTTAGACTCCATTTTGTCTTATTTTAAACTCAAAGATCAAACTCAGATGTGGTGGAAGAATATGAAAAACCAATTTCAAGTTGAGGAATTTGGCTTTACTCCCAGCTCAGAGTTTTACCTTTTGTGGAATAGAGACAGCTGACATGTTTTCGTGTTTGTTTGTTTGTTTCCTAAATAAAACATGTGGGAGGGATAAATGTGCTGCAGCCCTGAGCCCCGTGGGTGTACCACAGAGCAGTGTGCCTGGCCCTGGCTCTCTGCAGGGCTGTGCTTGTTGCCTTGAGTGCCCCATTCCTTGCAACCTTTGGTGCTTTGCAGCCTCAGAGAGCACGTGTTGCATCCTGCACGTGGCACAGCAGTTGTATGTGGGCACTGGAAGGGAATGGCCTGTGTGTGGATGTCTTTGCTTGTGTTTTCTGCGAGGCAGGGAGCTCCCTGCTCTTGGCACACAGAGAGATGGCAGCTGCGGGAGCAACCTGACAAATGGAGAGAGGCAGATCAGCAGTGATCCTTGAGTTCCCATAATATTTCCTCATTAAGTTCAGTCCAGCCAGCACTGCTAGTAAGCTGCTCTGCTATGGCAGAGGGGAAGCTGCTCTGAGCGTTGGAGGTAGAGGGCTTTGGAGGAAAGGTTTTTGGATAGACCTTGGGTTGGGATGAAGGCAACCTGGAGGTTAGGCTGACCTCTGCAAGGTTGGCCCAAGGACTGAGCCCTGGAATCACTGAGGCTGGAAAAGACTTCTCAGATCCCCAACCCCATCATGCCCACTGACCGCGTCCCCCAGTGCCACATCCCCACACTTCTGAACACCCCCAGGCTGGTGATCCCCCACTCCCTGGGCAGCTGTTTCAGTGCTGACTGCTCTTTGGAGAAGAAATTATTCCCAATACCCAACCTGAACTTCTCCATGTGCAGCTTGGGGCCGTCTCCTCTTATGCTATTGCTGTTATCCAGGAGCAGAGGCCAACCTCCTATTGCTACCACCTCCTTTCAGGGGTCGTAGGGAGTGATGAGGTCTTCCCTGAGCTGCCTCTTCTCCAGACTGAACCATTCCAGTTACCTCAGCTGCTCCCTATAGGATGTGTGCTCCAAACTCCTCACAGCTCCGTTGCCCTGAGTCTCTGCTGTCGCTTCTGTTTCAGGCTCATCTGCCCTTTGCTGTGGTTGGCAGCACAGAGGAGGTGAAGGTGGGGAACAAGCTGGTGAGAGCTCGGCAGTACCCGTGGGGAGTGGTGCAAGGTAAGCTGCCACCTGCATGGACAGATGCATGCACCCTGCAGCTCTGCCCTTCCCAGTGTGCGCAGGAAAGTGTGCTGTGCTGCATGGGGTGGATGGGTCCCATGCAGCATTGTGTGGGTTGGCCAATCTTGCCTTTGAATTCCCATAACCACCAGCATCTGAAATAAGTTGTCTGAGCAATGCTTGGACTCGCACCCACTCTGGCATGGTCAAAATGAATCACTGTATCCAAAGAGCTTGGTTATCCCATGGGGGATGGCAGCTAGACATCCATGGGAGGGGAATCTCTGGAGTTGGGCTGAATGTGCATTAGTACTCCTCCCTCTCATGTGCGTTTTGCTGACTCCTCACTCGTTTTCAATCAGTTGAGAATGAAAGTCACTGTGACTTTGTGAAACTGCGAGAAATGCTGATCCGAGTCAACATGGAGGATCTTCGGGAGCAGACCCACACCCGCCACTACGAGCTGTACAGGAGGTGCAAACTGGAGGAGATGGGCTTCAAGGACACGGACCCAGACAGCCAGCCCTTCAGGTGAGGGCCTTCACATCTGCCATCATGGTAGGGCACCAGCACCCCAAAGAAAAGCAGAGGTTTGTGGGTGATATCTGCCATGCTGGGCTGGAAGATATGAGCCTTGCATTTGAACTTGTTCCCTTCCCTGCTTCTTTGTCCTTAATGAAGCAGGAAGGCATGCCTTTTCCCCATCCCTAAGTCACTGTTATTCAGAAAGTCTAGATTCCGTTTGCTTTCTTACCCAGCCTGCAAGAAACATACGAGACCAAAAGAAAAGAATTCTTGGGTGAGCTCCAGAAGAAAGAGGAAGAAATGAGACAAATGTTTGTTAACAAAGTCAAGGAGACGGAGGCAGAGCTGAAGGAGAAGGAGAGAGAGGTGAGTGTGCCAGAAACCCCTGAGAGGAGCCCAAAATACACTCAGCCATAGGATCTGGTCTCAGCAGCACACAAATCCTGGAATGCATGAGCAGATGCTTAGTAGACCTTGCCAGCCAAAGCAATACACACACATACATATATACACTCACACACACACCTTCCCCTGCTCAGGGAAGGGTGCACGGTGGTGTTTTCAGAGCAGCATCACTGGTTTAGGTGTTTCAGAAACAGAAGTCTTGCCCTCCCTGTGCTGTGCGTAGGAGACAAGGCTGCTGCTTGGTGAGCAAAGGGCAGTGCAGAATGGTTTGGTGAGCATTGGGTTGGAGGTGCACAGTCGCAGGGATCGGTGGTGGGAGGCCATGGGCAGCTGCTGTGCTGCAAGGGGAAACAGATGGACCATCTTCCAAGGAGTGAAGAGTCACATCATATCACAGAATGGCCTGGGTTGAAAAGGACCTCAAAGGTCAGGAATGTGGGATCCCACTGTGCCCTCGGTCCCTGAACTGAGATACGTGGGGGGTTCAGGGGACGGGGGGTTATGGGGCTGGTGGTCGTGCCTGGTGAAGTGCTCACAGTGCCTGTCTGCTGCAGCTGCATGAGAAGTTTGAGCACCTGAAAAGGATACACCAGGAAGAGAAAAGGAAGGTGGAGGAAAAGAGGAGAGAGCTGGAGGAAGAGATGAACGCCTTCAACAGGCGGAAAGTGGCGGTGGAAACCTTGCAGTCCCAATCCTTGCAGGCTACCTCACAGCAGCCGCTGAAGAAGGACAAAGACAGGAAAAAGTAAGTGACCAAACTGGAGTGTCACCTTTGCCTCTGAGAGGGGGCAAGTTCTCAGACTGCAGCGTTTTGAGAGATAAGGAAAAAAGGGCTTTGGAACCCGAATTTTACCCTTCAGGCTTTGTGTAAAGTGCAGGAGAGAAGGGGTCACCTGTGCCAGGGGAAGCCTTGCTGGCTGCAGGGTGGCTCCTCAGTTCTGGGCTGTTCTCTAAAGGCCTGGAGCCCTGCAGGGCACACAGCCATGGGAGCACATAGCTGCTGGATGCAGGAAGGGAGCTGAAAATTGCTGTACTGTCTCCCCAGCAGAGAGAAGCAGGGACAGCCTTGGCACAAGTGTGATGTCCTGCAGGCATGGTGCCCCATCCTGCTCTGCTCTGTGGCTTTAGGGCCTCTTTTTGTGGAGTGCTGTTTATTTTTAGAGGTAGAGCTGTGAAAAGTGAAACAAAGCAGGTTAGAATGAAGAAACACAGAGAATTCATTAGGGCTCCATGTGATGCAGGACTCCAAGACAGAGTTCTGCTTGTGCTGAATAACTGAGAAAGCCCTTTTCCCCTAAAGGCAGAATTCTTATCTAGCTGCAGGTTAGCTGACATTGCTGAAGCCAGTAGGAGTATGGAGGAGGGGCATGCAATATAATGCTCTCTCAGCTGCCTGGTTATAATGATAGAGAAAGAAGGGGGCAAACAGGTTTATTTAAAGAAGATATATCTTTAAAACTAAAAATGGGGGTGGTGCTGTCCTGCCCCCAGCCATTTTGGTTCCCAAGGAGCACTGTGCAGGAACAGGATGAGGCAAGCTGGCATGCAGGGTGCTCAGTTTGTCCCTCCAGCACTTACAGTTAATTTGCTGTCAGAGCTGCATGTGGTCCCAGCAGGTCACTGCAGTCACAGCCTGGTGAAAGAGATGGCTGGGAAGTGATGCCCTGGTTAGCTCCTGGCAGCAGAGTGGTGCTGGGGCTCTGAGCCATTTGTTTCTTCCTAGGAAGGTAACAGCATGTGTTATTTAACTTATTTGCTTGGAATGTAAGTATGTTGGTGTTAAAATGGGTCTCCAGACCTGTCAGCGTGCTCTGTGTGCATCCAGCCTCACATGCAGCACCCAAAGCAGTTTGCAAAACGTTCTGCTGGAAGTAAGGTCATATTGAGTGACTTCCAATAGGAGTGAGGGGCTGAGAACAGGACCCAGGTCTGACCTATGGCCGTGAGCACTCCAAGCACGTGCTGCTCTTTGTGCTGCTTGGCGGAAATGCAGCAGCTTCCTGCCTGCAACAGAAATAGGCTTCCTGCTGTGCACAGCACACTGCAAGCACTGCTCTGCTCCCTGCCTGCCCCTGTGATGGGGCTGGGGGCAGTGGGGCTGCCAGGAGTGAGGGCACCTTGTCCCTGTCCCTGGGTTCTCTGCAGATCTGGGGCCCAGCTGTGGGACTGCACTGTTAGTGGGGATAGAGCTAAGAAGTTCAGGAGAGGAAGCCGTTTGGGATGGGAGATATATTGTTGATGAGTTTGCAGCCTGGTTCCAAATGTGGGCATCTGTGCTGCAGCACACATATGTGTTATCCAGGATAACAATATTCATAGAATGGTTGGGTTGGAAGGGACTGTGAAGATCACAGAACCACAGAATTCCAGAATGCTGGGATTGGAAGGGACCCCAAAGCCCCCACTCCCAGGCTGCGCTGGGCACCCACAGCCCTGGGCAGCGCTGCCAGTGCCTTGCTGCCCGAATTGTTCACTAATAATTGAGGACCAGGCTCCTCCCCAGTGCCTTGCCTTGCTGGTGCCCCCTTCCCAGACCCCCCTCCATCTGGCCACATGCTGGGAAGCAGCACGTCAGGGAGTGCAGCCCCAGCCCAGGAGTTGGGTTGATGCGAATCACAGGACCTCACACACTGTGATGGGGTGCATGCACTCCTTGGTGAGCAGCACTCATGGTTTCCTTACTGGCATGTTGCTCGTCTGTGAGCAGAGGCACATCCCAGTGCTGCTGGTGGGGCTGCTGGGACTGGGATTGTGGGCTCCAGGGTAGGAAGAGGCATTTTCAGTGCTTTTTATTATTATTATTTTTTCCTTTTATGGTTTGATTGATATATTTTTTTTAGGAAAGGTGGTTGAGCCTCTTGACCCCTCTGGTGCTTTAACGCAGGGTTTGAGTAGCATGAATAAGTGAGAAATGGAGACAGCAGAACCACAGGTGGGGAGAGGAAACAAACGTGTTTGTGCTGAGATTCTCTGTGCACACACAGCTGAACAGATGGTGCTTTGTGGTGTGTTGTTCGTGGCAGCCTTGGTGTGATGCCAGAGCACTGCTTGGCCTTCCCTCTCTTTTTTTCTTTTCTTTTGTTAATCATTTCACTACATTTTGCTTTTGCTTAATTTTCCTAATTTTAATTTATGCTTTTTTTTTATGCTTTGTTTCTTTCAGTTAATCACATACAGACTTTCAGGCCAAGAGTGGACTTGGTGCTTTCATGTGTTTAAGTTGCTTGAGTTCCCCACCCCGTGACCCTTCTCATAACATTGTGTGCGTGGACCAAAGCGAAAGAGACCACGAGCATCTCCAGTGGTTGCTGTGTCACGACTTGCTGTGATCTGTGCTGTGTTTGAGGACGTAACCTTACTGTGTAAATGCTTCTAAACAACATCAACTCATCCCCAAAGTGAGACGTCCTGTCCTAAGCCCAGCAGCTGTGTGTCAGGTGTCTGCAGCAGTTGGCCTGAGCTCCCCTTACCCAGCAGCTGAATGCTCACTCCCTAGATTTCGTTTGATTGTCATTGGTTATGGGGACTGTTCGAGCCATCGCTCCACTGTTTCCCTCCCTCTGAAGGTGCTCAGATGGGAGGAGTGATGTGAAGGATGCCGAAACGTTTATTTTTCTAACAAAATCCTGGATTTGAATAAGTTTAGAACACGGGCAAAGCCCAGAGCTCAGAACCTCCGCCTTGGGAACCTTGGTCCGAGTCACCCCTGTTCCCCTAATTATATATTTTAATCCTGAATTTCTCTATAAACATATTCTTCCTCATTTATAATATATATACATATATACATATATATATATATAGAAAGAGAGAGTGGTTAATAAAACTCATGGGACAACGTTTTGAATTTTCTTTACCGCTGAAGTTAGAATTTCTATATAGAAGGGTTTTCCATACGTGTGTGTTGTGTCCTGTGGAGCTACAGGAGCTGTGGCACTTCTCACTTAGCAGCACAATTCACTGCCCTGGAAAAAGCTCTTGAAGCAGTCATCTTTCCTTTGTGGTTGTTAAAAAGGAAATAGCCATAAGCACACACGTGCTGAGGAGATCCCTGGCCGTGAGCTGTGCTGCTTTTATGGCACTCTGCTCCATCTCACTGCTTTGTGATAGGCAGAACACAGCTGCACGGAGGCACACAGCAGTGTTCTCATGGAAAAAGGGTCGGACCCAATTCCATCAGACAGCAGATGGGACAGCTATTAAATATCAGCCCTGCAGTGTCCTTGGAGTTCCAGCAAACACTGCTGTGGCTGAGTATTTGGTGGGAGCGTGTGCATTTCTGTTTAGGCATTAATGTTTGAGGATTTCTCTCATTATTTTTCCTTAAAGCCCCATCCTTATGCTGAGCTCTGGCTCCGAGGTGCAGGTCTGTGTGAAGGGCACGATGCTGGATGAGGCGTATCCCATTGAAGCAGCTCTTTCATTTTTCCTTAATGCGTGCTCAGGTGTGAAACTGTTTTCATACGGACGTTGTCCCTCTGTGTGGGTGCACTGCCAGTCCTGTTTGTGTGACTTGGTGTGAAAGAGCCTCTCACAGTGCCCTCTGGAAAGGACCAATGTGGAGATGCACGCAGGCTGCATCAGCTGATGGCTGAGCATGGGGCTGCCCAGGCTGTGCTGCTGGGATGCGTTTTGTAGAGTAGCCCTCGTACCAAGAGAGCCGATGTGGCTTTATTGAGGGAACATACAAAGAACAGAACCGATGGTTACATCCAGAACAGCTCCAGCTCACCATTGACTCGGTTTGCTCATGCAGCGAATCAGGGGCACAATTTTGATTATTGCTAATGAGAGAAGCTCTGGTGTGCTAATTGCCTGTGTGAGCAGAGCTGTGCTGGAGCTGTTCTGCTTCTCAGGGCCGATGCTCCCGAGGGCTGGAACAGAGCTCTGACCACACTGCAAACCTTGCCACGCTTTTCCACTCAATGTTTTTTTCCTGATCTTGTGCTGCAGCCAATAAGATCTATGCAAATACTTTCTTTCTCCCCTGGTTCAGCAGAAATCATAAATCCTTTTTCCTCAGGATAAGAGATAGTTAGGGAAACGACGATAGCAACAGAAGTGTAGGAGCCTGCTGACCCGTGGCACTGCGGAGAAATCCCAGCTTTCCCTGGAGAAGAGATTCAGAATGTACATAATGATATGTTGACGATGATTCTGTATTCACTGACATTACTGTGACGGACGTCCCTTTCCTCGCAGCTGTCTGTTGACCTCAGGTCCATCTGCTCTTTGGGGCAGTCACCATCAGAGTCCAGCAGCAGAGCTCAGTTTTTGCCCTCTTGCACTCGAAGTGCGTGGTTTTCCCTTCTTGGCTGAGGCAGGATTTAAACACGTGGCCTATAGAGCAGTTCTGCATCTTATTTTTATTTAACGAGTTGTGAATGCGTTGCGATGCTGATCTCAGTGCAGCCTGAACCTCCCCTCCTGCAAGCAGAGCACGTGGCAGGACCGCCCTCCAGGATGGGAGCCATTCAGTTGCACTTCTTTCAGCCATCTCATACATTTCTCTGTACCACGTTGGCAATAACGGGGAAAAAACTGTTATTGTTTAAACGTTGGCCACCATCCTCACTGTGTGCTTCCTAAGCTAAGAGGTGCCTGTGGGGCTGTGAGCTCTGCAGTCTGCCCGCTCGGAGCAGGGAGGGGTGCACTCCGAGCACTGCAGCCATTTGCTTTGCCATTCCAAATGTGTTGGGTGATTTTGCCTTTCTTTCTTTCTTTTTTTTTTTTTTGACTTTCAGTTCTTTCCACTCACTTTGTAATTATTTTTTTTTTCTTTTCTTTTATTAAATCTCACATGTATTTTGAGTTTTTTGTGGTGTCGTTTATTTGAGCAGTGCGTTTCCTGTGCTGTCTGGTTGATGTCTGTGAAATGGCAGTGTGTAAAGCACCGAAGGTGTTCCCAGATCTCAGGTCTTAGGGACTTTGGGAACCCTCAGAAATACCATGAACCAACTTCTACATCACACACGATCCCTGACCCAGAGGGAAGTCCTAAGGCGTCGATCCAAATGCAGTCCCTCCTTGAGCCAAAGCTGTCTAAGTTCTCCTCTGTGGGATTTGTGTACCTACCAGTGTTTTTGGGGATGTAATGACGCCGAGCAGTTGATCAAAGCACAGCCCACAGATGGTGTCTGGATGCTATCTCCCCTTAACAGAATAGGAGCAGGATGGGCCTTTTCTAGAGAGACACCTCACTGTCCTTTTATATGGAAAAGTGCACAGCTTCAGCCTGGGGTTCTCTTTTGGGGGATGGTGGCTGATGGAGCTCTACTCACAGCCCCATTTGGTGTCAGCTCTGTGGGACGTTGCTGCCTGAGGAGCTCAGCTCAGCCTCTCTGGGTTTTATTTGCTGCTGGGCTGAGGCCAGTGCTGCACTGAAGGCCAACCTGAACCCCAACCATACAGCTTGGCTGATGAGTGCTGTCCAGGTGGTGCTGCTGATGGAGGTTTGTCCAGCAGCGTGCATCAGATTTGTACTTCAACCTGTCTGTACTTAATGCGATGATCTGACGCTTAAATATGATTCTCTTTTGTTCTTTCTGTAGCTTTTTTAGTCTTCCCAGCGCATACTCCATAACAACAGGAAGATATGTTAATTAGAAGATTTATTAAGGCCAAAACATCTCATGCAGAAGAAATTAATTGGTGCTTTCACCTTTAAGCTTGCAATATATTGCACAGAAGAGATTGTGTAGCGAGGACTAAGATACACTGATTGATTGGGAAAAGTTTGCTTAATCAGGTCTCTTGATAAAGTTGAAACCCAAGGTATTTGCCAAAAGATAACCTGCTAATTATGGCTGATGCATGGCTTACACTGAAACCAAACACTGACCTCTGGCCCCAGTCGTAGCATTTAACACTGTGACTGAACTTCCCAGGGGAGAGGAACAAAGTTGGGTTGGTGGAGAAGCTCTCAGCGTGCTGCTTGAGCTGCTGCTGCAGTGGGATTTGGTTTGTTCCTCTCCTTGTCTGGCTTGGGATGTCACTCCAGAACCTCTGACCGACCTTAACACTACTGCTGGAGTCTAACATTTCTGAGCAATAAGCAATAACTTTTCAGCAGCTTTGTTCTGTAGACTTACAGGTGTTATAACCCAAATCCCTGACCCCCAGTTTCAGTGTTACCAGGGCTGTGCCCCCCATGCCTCAATGTCAGCCCTTTCCAGCGCTCTGTGCTGCAGGCACCTGCCCAGCTCTGCTCCTGCCCTTGGGCTGGGGATGCTGGGTGAGCACAGAGCCATCTTAAAGGACAGAGCTCGATGTGACCTCCTCATGAAGGGGAAGCAGTTCAAAGCTGGAGCCTGGGCTGCGACTCCTGTGTTTATGATGCACTGAGTTCCTTTTTTACACAAACACTTGTTGAAACAAAAAAGCACAGCGCTCCTGCCCAGGTCTGGCGTCACGCAGGACCAGGGTGGCCCCAGTTCCTTTTCATTTTAAACAAACCTGTAAAGGAATCTCAGGACTGACCTGCTTGTACCGAGGTTGGGTTTAATAAAAACAGAACTGACTTGTTTAACAAACATCTGTTAAACACGTTTTGTGCACTGCTTACATTCACTGGAGGAGCACAGTGCTATGTCCACGTGTTCAGCCTTCACCGCTGCCCCTTCTCATTGCCACCTTGTGCCTGGCCGGGCTGCAGGACTGGCCATAACCTGGTCCTTTGTAGGCCAGAAGACGCTCCCAGCCCTCACCACCACCACCACACACTGGGCAATGCCACCCGAGGGCTGGTGGCTCTGCCTCTGGTGTGACGGAGCCCAGCAGGACTTCCCCTAAGCTGGCTTCATCACCGCCTGCATTTGCTGGGACAGGCTGGTGTACAGGTGCTGGCTGTCGTGAGCAGGACTGAGCTCCTGTCCTCAGCACACCCTGTGCACGGCAGTCACCTCCAGATGCCCTTGCAGTGGCTGCAGATCCAGAACTAGGAGTGCTTTTCTGCTGGCTGCATCCAGCATCGGCTCTGTGCCCCGCGCTGGGCAGGAGGAGAGCTGGAGCAGTCTGTGACCACTGGGCTGAGCTGTGCAGTGGAATGCTCTGATCTGATTGCAGTGACCGTGGCTTGGTCACAAATGGGATTAATGTTGCATAAGGAGGGGGAGTTGCAGACACCTGCCAGGACTTAAAGCATCACTTAAGTGTACTTTTCTGCATTCTTAAGGAATCGAACCGTAAGTACTGTTTAAACTGAATTTAAAATGGTAGAGCTAATCAGCAAAAAGCACACCCTACACACAGATGCTGCAGAGGCAATCTCTCCGCTGTTTTCCTTTATCTTGATCCATTCTGCCACCATAAGAGTTGTTTTCATTTGAGCAGCTGTAATAAATGAACACTTAGATTGTTACCCACCCACCATAAGCAGTGATAACAAGTCAGGTTTGTCATCTAAGGCATCTGGTGCTGCTGCTTTGAAGTAAGGCAGCTTTATTCCTAAATGCAGCTGTTCTGGCATGGCTCGCTCCAGCTGTGACATGGCTTCTTCCATGGTGTTTTATGAAGGATAGATGTGACAGCGGCTGGGGATGACTCTGAATTGCTTCTCTGTTTCTCATTTAATGTTTGGTTCATATTTACGTTTTGGTTCTGATTCTGAATCTGAGCCCTTATGGGCAGCACTGGTATCCATCAGGAAACTTCCTGTAGGACCAAACAGTTCCTTGGGTTCTTGCTGCAGGTGCTTTTCGGTGCAAATGCAGCTTTGCAAGGTATCGTTAATCATCAGGCATTTGGAAATCTGGCCTGAATTAAGGCAGCAACAACAGACATCTGTTCCTGAATTGTTCCTCACCTGGGATGCTAACCTGCTCTTAGCAGTGCACTGTCCAAGCTCCTGTTGATTGAAATGGGTTAGGATGGCCACAAGCTTTTATTGGCTGGATGCATGCTGTGTTACCAATACACTGTGCAGAAAGACTGCGGGGAGGTGCTCCCAGCCTTGGACTTGGCTCTCCCAGAAAGAAGGGTACGTAGCAAGAATGATCCTGTTGCAACTGCAGCTTGTTCCTGAGCTTTGTGGTTTCTTCAAGGCAGGAAGTTCAGTTCTGAACAATGTCAGCAACACAAAGGTAAGAGGTACAGGGAGTTACCAAGCAATGCTTTCAACCTGCTGAGGACAAACCATGAGTGTAAGTTCCCTTATTGTAACTCAACACTGGCAGAGGTGTGCAGAAAGGATCTGTGCTACCAGAGAAGCGGTGCGTGCTGCAGAGCAGGCAGGCTCCAGCTTTACTGTTCCCATTCCAGTGTGGCATCCTGCATCCCTATGGGAACACGGGGTTCTGCTGGGCTGCTCAGCGCTGCCTTCATCTTTCCCATGTTGCCCCATTACCGTGTGCTTTTGAATGCTGCTCATTATTGATTGCAGAGGTTTTGGAAAGCAAGTTTGTGGATGGTTTGTAATGTCATTCACCTTACAGGTGAGAAACTACACATAGAGGCTCAGTGCTGGGGAGGCGAAACATTGGGTAGGAGCTGTTGTGCTATGAGGGCACAGCATGGAAATCACTGCGTGCAGAATTCTTCTGCTGACATTTGCACTGGTTAATGCAGCTGGTGAAGATTCATGAGATAGGGCAGAAAAAGAGACAGGAGGAAAAGCAGAATGAGGCACAGAGCCCCACTTCCTGCAGGGACCTCTGTGAGCATCAGCTTTGGCTGGGCTCGTCATGGAGCACACTGAGGACATGAGATTGAAGCTGTATTTTATTGGAAATAACTACAAAAGACAACTTGCCTCCTCCCAAAGTCAGGCATTTCAGTCACAGCTTGTGATAGAAAAGGAAAGTGGCACAGTGCTGCAGAGAAGAGCCCTGCCACACACAAAAAAGCTTCCCTACAGTCCATAGGTAGGTTTAATAAATAACATAAGAATGCCTCTGCCTCTGGGACACCTTGTAAACTGTGTCTGGGCTACGAGGGCGAGCAGAGCCTTCCTGTGAGCTGCACAGCCCCCTGCAGCTCAGCACTCCATCAGCAGTACCTGCAGTTTGCCTCATGGAACCTGCTTTGCTTTCGGCACCGATTTGAGTGCCATCTGCTCACACAACATTTGCACCACGTCTCCAATACTAAATATTTATTTCTAGAACCTTTCTGCTCTGCTTTTTTTGCAGTTTAAAAGGAAAACTTGACTTTTGCCTTGCACACATACAAAGTTTATTCATTTCCAAGCGCTAGCTGTGGCAAAATTTAAATGTAAAACTTTGGAAAGCTTTATCTGTTAACAGAGCTGCTCAGGACATCACTCCTGCAATGCCTGTGGTTCAGGAATCCCTCTTCTTCAAGGTAAGATGAGGAGCAAAGGAAAGAAACTTTGTTCCTGCACTGAAGAGTGCATCTGTAAAGCAGCACGAGGATTTCCTTGCTCCTATCTTATCCCTGTTCCTATTTATTTATCCTGTATCACTAACTTAGACACCTGCTCAGCATTTAGCCTGTGATGCTCTGTCTGAAGACCTTCCCTGTTCTGTGACTTGCAGGTATGGTATTGCTGTTCATACAGTATGCTCTGGATTGCACTTTCAAACTAGTGCAACAATCACATAAAAATGCTGGCCCTATTGTTTAAAACAAATTGCAAGGAAAAATTTCTCATATATCTTCAAAGAATGCCTAAGGCTGGTTTTAAAAGTGCAACAGAGGCTTAAACTGGCCTATGTAATTTGTAAAACTGCTTTGCCTCATAGTGGTGAGAAAATAGTTGAAGGCATTTTGCACTGTCTAGTCTTAAGGCAGAAGAAATAGCACCCTGAATGGCCCAAACTGGTCAGTGAGGTCTGCAGTGCTGACTGCAGATAAGCAATTTCCCACAGCTTGTAGGAACCTGGAATGAGTCTTTAGTGGCTTTTACCCAGAATGGAGCCCAAAAATCGGATCCACGGTAAGGCTTTAACAAAAACTAGATGGTTTGGCTCATGGCCTTTTCACTATTAAATCAAATAAAGCTTCCCATCTGAGGGCTCATAAGCTGAGACATCTGGTGCTCCGTGGCACAGCTTGTAGCCTTCTGCCACACTGATCCCTGAGTTGTAGGACTGTGACCCAGTCCCTCCTCTCCCCAGCTTTCTGTATTTACGTGGTGTTAAAAGTGGAGCACACTACTTAGAAAAGATACAGCATAGGAGAATGACACCATTTCATCATTGCCCTCTGAAAAACACAGCAGCACTCTTGCTCTGTTGTGTTCACTGTCCTGTTTGCTGGGACCAACCAGTACTGAAATACTGCTTCCAAGGCAGGATGGTCTCCACTATTCCCTTCCAGGTGGCTGCAGGGGAGGACATGGGGAGCTGCATCCTCCAGACCTCAGCTGAGGGCACAAGCCACCCATGCGCCCCCTCCCACCATCTGCTCCCCTGTCCTCACTGTACAGGTATCTGAATCCATCGTAGCATTCATCTGTCTCCATGGTGCCATCAGGGATTTGGGCTGTAGCAGACATGACAGCCGCTGAAACTGGCTGCCTTGCAGCGACCTGCAGCCTCACTTGATGAGAATTCTTCAGTTCAGAAGAGTAATAGTAGGGAAACTTGGCCTCAGTATCGCCCTGGATGGCTGGAGTGATGGGACAAAAAATATAAATGGCGTTGGATGGCTGTAAGTGCGTTAGCTCTTGATCCACGAGCTCTTTGCAGTGTGTGAATTCAGTGCTAGTTACCTGTAAAGAAAGTAGAAATTATTTTTTTTGGTAAATTCATACAAAATTATTCTCTCCTCTGGCTTCTGTTCTAGCAGCTGTGTAATTGGGGGGATCTTAGGGACAGGCTATTCCAGATACCTCAGCTGATGCATAACAGCAATATGCACATTGGCCCTGATGCAAAACATTTAGTCAGGAGCTCCTAAACTAGTACACAAAAGGCAGGCAAGCACTCCCTCTCTTTTTAGGAGGCTACAACAACCAAGAGGGACAGCAGATAGCTAGGTTATGTCAAATAAAGTCAAGCTGATGAGTTGACGGTAAGCTGCCAACCTGGGTCGTTTGCCTTCTAAGTGTACTTTCTTAAAAGAAAAGTGTTTTATGAAACTGGGGAAAAGTTTTAATAAAGCAGAGCTTGCTTCTTGTATGTATCATTAAAAGTGAAATTGATCATACTTAAAGTAACTGCTCTTAGATGTCCTCAGGCTTCAGTCGGGAGGCAGGGAGCTGAGCTATCTGTGGCCAAGCTCTTTTGGAAGCCTCTGAAAAGTCAGCCAAAGGTAGCACTAACAAAGGTAGAACATGGACACAGGCTTCTCAGGAATCTGCTAAAATGCAACGTGGGTTGCAAATACACGTGCTTTATTAATCTGCCAGTGTCTTGGCCTCAAGATATCGTGACCAAAGGCCGTTTTGACTCCTACCTGTGCTTTTTTTAGCAGATCAGTAATAACAGGAAACCAATCAGGAGTCTGCCTCTCCAGCTCTAAGGTGATGATCACCAAAGCCAATGTGGAGCCCTTAAACTGCACTAGTTGGTGGCAAGCCATACAGTGCTGTAGCTGTTTGGTCAAGAATGCAACGTGGCGAGAAGGATTCGTCTGAGGCAGCCCGTTTAGTAGATGGGGCCAGTTGGACATCACCATGGCATGGAACTGGAGAGAAGAGAAATAATATATATATATTAGAAAAAAAGTTATAAAAAAGCAGAGGTCAGTGAACTTTATATGTTTTCATATGTTATCAACCAGACGTACAGACTTAATTTCATCTCATATCAGGAGGCCTAGAGGGTGTCCCCCCTGTCCCTGCCCTTCTTTTTTTTGTGTTTGTACTTGCCAGCCACCAAACTGTTTTTTGAGCTTATAATGAATGTAAAGGTCTGTGTTTCCTAATAATTTCTGGGGTTTCTACTTTATCCAGATTGCTATCTAGGAGATTCAGTTCAGACCAGCACATATGAAGAGAGTAAAACCAGTAATAATGACTGTACTCTGAATTTACTGAGGAAACAAGAAGAAAGGCAGTTTTTACAATCAGCAGCCTAAGATGGCTTAATATTTGCACATAACCTTATGAAAGGGTTCCGGGATGTTTGTATCATATGATTTTTGCCTTACTAGCACATGATCGTTTCTTGAAGACAAAGTTCAATCATTTCTATTGAGTATTTAGTAACTGCGATGTGAACTAAGTGCCACATTGGGGTCTAATTGCATAAAACCAGGGTGAAGTATCAGTGGGATGAAAAGGAAAGTGGTTTGAAAAACCTGTATATGAAATGTAGCAAAACTGATAGCTTTCTATGTACAGTATTAATAGAATGGAAATAGTTAGAAATATTTTTGCAGTGTGTATTTAAAAAAAATTAAAATGACGTATAGTTGTGCATTATGAGAATCTTTTTAATGTCCATTTTAGTTGTCCTTTAAAGATGGGAGTAGATTTTTTTGAGCAAAATGAAAGGTTTTAAATAGCAGTAAATTAAAAAATGCATAATCACCGTAACATTCTTCAAAAGACTTGCAGATAGCTAAGAACTGGTAGTCTACAAAGCATCTTGGGAAGGATGTGTGATGTGTGCACATCTGTGTTTTCTAGTCTCATTTGATAAGAAGTTGTTTCTTTAAACAAAACAGAATTGCAAAACATAGTGCTTACAATGTGTAAGAAATCCATTGGTGTTGCTGTGTAAAGATCCCAGTGAAGCTTATCTAGTATAATTCTTTCCATTCTCAAGATCTCAGCTGGAGAGCGTTTACAGCCACTCTGCACTGCAAGCGTCTTCACCGATGGTATTACCTGTTAAAAAAAATTAAAGGAGTTAAAAAATAATAAAGAAGCCAACTTCTTACACAGTGCTGTGTGCGTTTCTCTGTACTGTGCTCTGAAAACTCTGTGCTCATCCCAAAGCACACAAAGCAGGATGCTTTGGTCAGGAGACCACATAGAAAATTGCCATTCTAAACACAGGCAGGGCGTCCTCCTCCCAGGGCAGCTGGCAGTGAACCCAGCCCTACAGCAGGAGCGATGCTGTGAGCCACCTGCGTGCTGCACTGCGAGGCACGTTCCCTGCTACCTCGTTAGCTTTGCTTCCCTGACGAGCAAGGAGAAGGTTTCCAGTTTTACAGAGACTTTCGTGGTTGTCTCGTTTCCTGTGGTCATTGGCTCAGCTTCTCCTTTTTAGCTGAGGGGAAAAGAATAACCTCAGCGTGATGCACCCTAAGAAGGCCTATGAAGAGCATTTCACTGCAGGAGCAGTTCATTAAAAGAACTGCCTGCAACTCCTAAGTTTCCTGTTCCTTTTCAAAACAGAATGAAGGAAAGAGGAGAAACAGAATCTGAAATGCTTTTCAAGGTCTATTTGGCTCATGTCTGTCAATGTCTGGAGAACTGTGTGCCATGACGGGTTTCAGCTATGTGCACTGGGTAATTATCCCTTGTAATCTCATACTTACATGGGTACTTGCTGATTTTACATGTTCACCTTGAGGTGCAGACCTGAGTCATTTCCTCACCCAGTTCAGTAACTGGTTTTGAATTGAAGCAAACTCATCTATCTGAAATCTCCTCTAAAGAATCTCTGCTCTGTCTTGCCTACCCGATCCTCCCAGGACCCATCACAACAGAATTACAGCACCTTGATGTCATGCACACAAAGCTGTGCACGTGTGTCTTGGCTGTCACTAGATCAAGCTTTACTGCGAGCTGTGAATTCTTATGAGGAGAGGTTTAAGTGCAGCAGGGGAATACATTCATTACTTTACAGTGACCTTGAAGGATGAAGGACCAACTCTTACTCATGCTGAGGAAACGGGACTGAAAATGTTACTGCCACCCCTTTGGGGCTATGCAGGGTAAACAGATTTACGCTTCCTCATTATGCCCAAGTTGATGAAAGACCTGGAAATGCAAACAACTTGAAAAGATGGATTTAGAGTATTTAAAATGACAAGTGTACAGACCTCATCTTCTTCGTTGGTTTTTGCTGCAAGGACAAGGCAGGAAATTGCTATGCACTGAAGATATTTCAATCGAGCCTGAAGGGAGAAGACAACACTGAGTAACAAAGATAACATCTTGGGGGAAATAACTGTCATTCTACTGCACATGCACAAGTTTCAAATTTTCATTTCAGTGGCAGCTGCTTTGGAATCAGTTCAGCTGCAGCAAGATTCACTTGAAGCCAGAAACAGCAAGGAAATCTGAAGTTGAACAAGTCCTCTTTTTGGTCTTACTGTTATTCACATATCTCACAGTCTCAGACCACACAATGTCACACTATCTACAACGTGGTGTTCTTCCTCCTCTTAACTGAGATATTACTATGCTTTTGTCAAGCAGAATTAAGAGTTGCAAGGCACGTAACTTTATTGTTGCTTCAATGTCAGAAGTTGGCCTCACAGTTTTGTTAAAAGCAATGGTTTTGAGACTACAACATTCAATGTGATAACGCCTTCTGTTTAGCGGAAGCAGCCAGATGATGATGAACTCTTCATGCTTATCACAGCTTTTGGACTCCAAAGTCACACAGACTTCTACTGTGGATTGTGAATCAGTAAAATCTCAGCAAACACTCAGGTTCATAGGGCATGTGGGAACCGTTGAGCCGCTGCCTGCACCACTGATTGAGCACCTGGGAAAGGACCTGGTCAGCCCTGGGAGCACAGGTGAAGGCAATTCAGCTGTGTGATAGGAAGGGGTGGAGGCTGGCTGCTCCTCTTAGACCTCATTTAAGGGCTGCCTGCCACTGGGGAAGGATCTTTTTCTGGAGATCTCTCCTTTGTGGAGTTTCCCCTGTGAGCCTCAATCTTCAGAAACAGGTGAGTAGTCCTTCTCTTATAACATTTTTCTATTACGTTAGTCCCTCTGTCCTTAGGCCTTGCATCACCTTTCCATTGTGTTGATCTTTTTGATGGTTACAATAGGTATGTATTCCCCAGAAAAGACCCTAGCTGCTCCCTAAGTCTACTGCCAAATACAGTACTTCTTTTGTGTAAAAGAGGATGTAATCAGGTTACACATCTGCAATCAGTAATGTAAACAGATAAAAAGCTGGAAGAGATTCTTTACCTTTACTGATGCTAACAACCGGTTAAGGATGCTGATAGATAAAGCAAAAGTTTCAGAGTGAAGCTGGAACTGAGAGCTTATTTCTGCGATCCAGAGTATGGTTTTCTCATAGCATGAGGGAGAGATGTCTGTACCCTGAGGGGAAGAAGTTAGGAAAAAAAGGTTAGGAAAAAAAAAAAGTACACTTAGCACTTTGATGATTTCGTTAACATATCTCCAAAGGAAAACTCCAATTATTCTAAGTGCTCTAATTAACATTTTAGATGTCTCCAGGCTTGAAATGAAGATATTGCTGTTGGCTGTGTATACAAAGAGAGGGAAAGGGCAAATTGTTGGAGCAGTTTAAAGCACTCATCCACGTTGCACAGCTCTTGCGTGCTCCATCAGGCTTCCCCAAACTACCTGAGTCAAAGCAACTCTAAACTCATTTTACATGGGGTATTAATATGGTGTCAAACAAAACAAACACAGACCCTCCTCCCCCTCTATTCCTTAAGATTCATCTATGCAGGATGACTTTTGCGTTCAGGTGGGTCAGGATGGCAGGACCAGCACTGCATGTCTGCAGGGAGATGCCTTAAATGCTGCTAAAGAGAACGAGGGAGAATACCTTCAGGGTAAGGTTCTGGAAAATGGGCACTTTCCAAATCCTAGCCTCTCTGACTAAGGCATTTTCCAGGAAGCAGGCAAGCCTTGGGGTCTGTGGAGGTCCAGGGCACTTCATAGTAACTCCTTGAGCCAGTTTCCCAGGTGGGAGCTGCTGCCAAAACCAAGAAAAGAATTATAAAGCAATATACCACCTCCTTGTGCTAGGTATGGTTTCCTCTCGTGCTGCCTTTCCCAATGCTGAGAACTAAGTCAGGGGCAGCCATATAGTTTGTGTGCTGATGAGCAAAAACAACTCTATCATCCATCCTGGGGAAACTGATGATGGAAGAAAAAATGTCTGAGAGCTAAACTGCAGCTTGGTGTTTTTTTTTTTTTCCACCTCTGGGCCATACAAAGGCTTCCTCTGGTTATCTTAGGTTGGGAGTACATAGCACTCCATTCAGCTGTCCCTTCGTAGAGCTATTAAGTTGCAAACCACTGTCAGCTGATTTTGAGTTTCTGGCAAATACAGGTCTATTGTTTCTGCAAAAAAAAAAAAAAAAAAAAAAAATTAAAATCTCCAATATTGTTGTTCTTAGGACTGAACTCCCAATGAACATTTTTTTCCTTGAAACAATTCAATCTTCCTGTTGCTGTTGAAGGCACACAACACTATAGAAGCAGCACTCTCCAGGCTATGCATGTACACATGAAATAAAGGTATCTGAGTGCTCCCATCTAAAGGGCAGTGAGAACCTGAGATGGAGCATTTCAGTACTTGTATTTCAGTGTCTCGCTAACAGCAGAAAAAAAAAGGTGTTAGATCTAGAGCTTCTGCTTTACTCTATCTGCGCAGTGGTGGATGAGGGCTCGTGGCTCCGTGCCTCCAATCGCCCTAAACTGAGTGAATCCTCTGGAAACTGTTGATTTCTAAAGCTGCAGATCTGCGATGTGAGCGTTTCACCGTACGGCTTTGGCTGCGTCTCACGAACACCCGACAGCCCGGATCGTTGCAGCAAAGCGACCAACCGTGTAAGGTGTATCCGAGCGGGTCGATGCTCTGAAGTTTCTCTTTTTGTAGCTGGAGGGAAAGAATTCACTCGAGGCTCCCCTACAGCTTAACCGCGACCGTCCCACACAATCACACCGATCCGCCCCGTTCCTGCCTTTCTTTCCCCGCAGCACGGAGAGCTCCGGCCGGCAGCATCCCCCGCCCGCTCCCCGTCCTTACCCGCCCGGGCGGGTCGCGCTGCGAAGGGGCTCCGTAGGCGGCCGGGCACGGAGCCAAGAGCAGCGACGACTCCGTCAGGCGGGGCCGCACCGCCCTCAGCCTCCGCGGCTGCGCACAGTCGGGCCCGGAGCGCCGCGTAACGGGAGCGATGGAGCTCCGCCGTCACGGCTCCGCTCTCGAGGCGGCGCTGCAGCGCGGGCTCCGGGCGGGGCTCTGCTGTGGGGTGACGGGCTGACTTCGGCACAGCCCCGCGTCGCGCCCGTCCCTTCCCGGGCACGCAGCTGCCGCAGCCCCGCTCATCGCGGCTCTGTCGTTCCGGTTGCGGAGCGGAGGAGCTCTCGTGGCAGCCGGGCCCTGCTCCTCGCTGACGGTCTGTGCTTTTGCAGTGGGAGTCTACACAAATAACTGCGTGTGTGAGGAACGTATGGAGGAACGGACGGATCTGTGAGGGAGTGCGGCGCTGCGGCCATTTCGGCCCGGAGCGCGGCCGGAACCCCGCGGGGCGATCATCGCGCCGGGTTCCATCACGCGCCCTCCGCCGCCCCGTCCCGTGGTTCCCGTGGCGACGCCCCGCCTCACGCTGCGGCTTTGTCCCTCCCACCTCCTCCTCTCCGCTCACGCCATTGGCTGCGGCTCGGCTCCCGTGGTGGTGGGGGGCGGGCCGAGCCCCTCCTTTCCCCGCGAGCCATTGGCTGCGCGGTCTCCGCAGCGAGCGGTGATTGGCCGAAGCCCTGGGCGGTGGGGGGCGGGCGCAGGCGCGGTGCTGTTATTGTTCCGCCGTGCGGCCCCGCGGCTCCTGCGACCGGCGGCGATTCACGGCCGCGCCGCCATGCCGGTGAGCAGCGCCGGGGCACGGGAACGTGGGGCGGGCTGGGAGCGGGATGGCGGCTGGGGACGCCGCGGGCCGCTTCTCGCCCTCTTGATTTTTCACTGACGGGAACCGCGGCCCGTGGGGATCGGTGGGGCGGCGCGGGCCCGGCGCGGAGCCTTGGAGGTGACGGCGCGGCGATCCGTGCGGCTTCACTGCGGCATCTGTGCCGTCCTGGGGGGGAGATGTGGGATGCGGGATGCGAGATTCCTCCCCACCCAGATGGGAGCAGCTCTGCGTCTGTCAGAGCCTCTGCTAAAGGCCCTGCGGATGTGGAGGCGAAGAGCTCGGGGAGCGGTTTGTTCCTTGCTGACATCCGAGGGTTTACAAATGGCTGAGTGCTGATCCGTGGCATCGCTCAGCGGGCGGCACCTCGGGCTGCGGCCAGCGGCTTTTGGAGCTCCTCTGTCAGGAGAAGCGTTGTCAGCACTGTCAGTCTGTTCAGTGTCCAAATCCGCGTCTGTAACCGAGAGAGAAAGGCTGCGTGAAGTCCTGTAAGCCAACCTTTGAGTTTTCAGAGTCGTTCACCGTCAACAAACGCACTGAAGCTTGTCTGAATTCCCTTCAGCCAGTGCCCGCTGCTATCTGCTGATGTCATCGGTGTGGTTTGAGGCTGTTTCCTTGTGCTCCCTATTCGGACAACGAGCTCCGTGAATTTAAAGGAGAGGCACAAAAGCCTCTGCTTCCAGCGAGCTGTTTGCAGGCATGAAGTTGTTTGCTGAAGGATTTAACAGATGAATGAAATTCTCATGTTTAACTCATTTGGTTTCCGCAGTTGCAAACAGAAGATTGCTTTGACGGAGTAAGTGCAGGGTATTCCCTTAGCTTTAATTATAAACCAGTTCTGGGCTAAGTGTGGCTTTTATGCTTCTGCTGAGAAGCATGCGTCTACAGCTTAAGCACATGGGTTTGTTACAGGAGTGCTGCAGCCTGTGAGTGTTTTGCCTTTTCATAATTGCAGATCAACAAGCCTGAGAAGCCGGACAGGCCAGAGAGCTGTGATAATGTCAAGGTGGTTGTTCGGTGCCGGCCCCTTAATGAGCGAGAGAAAGCGACGGGGTACAAAATGGCAGTCAGTGTGGATGAGATGAGAGGAACCATCACAGTCCACAAAGCAGACTCGTCCAATGAACCTCCCAAGACATTCACATTTGACACTGTTTTTGGACCAGAGAGTAAGCAGCTGGATGTCTATAACCTAACTGCAAGACCTATTATTGACTCCGTCTTGGAAGGCTACAATGGTAAATTCCTGGTTTATTTCATCTATGTTCCATGTGCTGTTGGTGTCCCCGATGATCTAACAGGAAGCCTTCTTTCACGAGGGCCACATCTCTGTTGTTTCTATTCTGGCCTCTGACCTGCAGCAACCAGATGGTGCTCCTTACTGAGTACCACCGTGGTGGTGTGTGCTGAGGTTGCTAACAGTGGGAGACAGCAGTGAGCAAGCGAGGCTGGTGAGCTGTATGTTTTCATTCTCTGTTTTCTGTCTGCAAAGGAGATACGCTTTATTTCATTATCAGAATTCTCAGCGACTCTTGACTATACAGTTTCAGTACCCCAGCAGCTGCCATGGTCCTGCAGTATCTAGGTATGCCTATTCTTCTCATGCATATAAGTGCTGCATTTTCATCTCTAAAACTTGCTGTTACAAACTAAGATGACTAGTTACACCATCAGCCCTGCCTGGCAGATAATTGGTTGCTTCCTGCAGCTGGGAGGAACATGTCCGTGGTTTGTGTGTGTTTGTTATGCATGCAAATACAACGTGTAGAAGAAAGAATACTGCACTAAGGTAACAAATTACTGCTTTCTGTAACTGCTTTTGATCTGTGCTGTAAGCAGCAGATTAAGAAGGTTTTTAAAGGTTTGCAAAATACCTAATAAGGTTTTGTGCTAACACACCCATCTTCAGCTGATTAAAATTCATTTCTTCCCAACAGTAATGCCAGTGACTTGACAATGAGCTTAATTTGAGTTGAGCTCATTTTGTGCTGGGACAAAATTAATTAACCTCTGTGCTTCTGGAATGTCTGGGCTGAGGTCTCAGTAAACTCTCTCACTGGTTTCCTTGGGGATGGTTATCTAGTCCAAACTGTGGCTGCATTTGCAGTTTCAGAACTGGACACTTGTACTGTGACCTGTGTTGTGGGAGCCTCATGTTTCTGCTGTGGCTTGAAGTGCTAGCAGTCGTTGGTTTTGTGGTTGGTATATAATGATCTTTTTCTAATTGACAATGCTATTAATTAGTCTGATTTTAATTATTTGCGTGTGAGCCATAAGTCTACTGGTTCTCAACCCTTTAATTGCTCTATACAGCTCAAACAAGCTGACTACTTCTTAAATATTTTTCAGGCTGGATAAAGCAGTGGCTTGAACATTTTTGCTGTGATTGTCCAGCATTTCTGTTTCTCATAGCATTGAGCAATGCGTACTGGAGAGAGTGAAAAGTTTCAAGTCCATAAAAATGTGTTTAGTGCTATCAGACTGAGAATTGATGAGGTAAAACTGCAGTTATACAACTGCATGACATTCATTAGTATGTTCTTGTTCTTCAGGCACTATTTTTGCATATGGGCAGACTGGAACAGGCAAGACTTTTACCATGGAAGGGGTCAGAGCAGTTCCTGAGCTTAGAGGCATTATTCCAAATTCCTTCGCCCATATATTTGGTCACATTGCCAAAGCAGAGGGGGATACAAGGTAAACACCTTCCTTTACTGCTCCTGTCTTTTGTTTGTCCATCTGGAGAAGAAGCCTGACCTCAGTAACGACTTAGGCCATTCTTGATGGGGTGGCAGGAATGTGTTTATGTATGGGTGCTTTTTCTTTGCATTCCGTGTCTCCTGGGCTTTGACAAATATCTTGTTGAGAAAGCTTCCCAACTGTTTGCCTTCAGGTTTTTAGTTCGTGTGTCTTACCTGGAAATTTACAATGAAGAAGTGCGGGACCTGCTAGGAAAAGACCAGTCACAGAGATTAGAGGTGAGCCTGCTCTTCTGAATCTGATGCTTGTTCCACGTCCTTGAGCAAGATTACTGTAAAGACCAGAGAGCATTTGAAGGGAGCCAGGAGGTTGGACTCCTCAGTGTGTGCAGTGTTTCCTTTGAGATACAGCAGCAGTTGGATATCACCATGATTTCTCTGAGTCTCTTCAATTTGCTCTGTTGTACAGTGAGAAAATGGCTCTCTGCTGAGTCAGTTTCATCCGTGCAGTTCTCTTGTAAAGGCCTCTTGGCAGTCATTCTAGGACTTAGTGAGATTTGAAATCTGAGATTTGAAATCTGCATTTGCCTCTAGGGAGGACCAGTGAAGTATTATCCTGCTTGAGTCTTGATTCCCTAGCTATCCTTTTGGAGTACTGCAGTGTTCTCTGTGCAAACTAGAATCTGGGGGAGTAAATCACTGTACTAATACAGTGCCACTGAGATTTGCTGTGTGGGCTCTAAGCATGCTCCCTCTAAACTGTTTTTCTCTTAGGTTAAAGAGAGACCTGATGTGGGAGTTTATATCAAAGACCTTTCAGCTTATGTCGTAAACAACGCAGATGATATGGACAGAATCATGACTCTGGGCCACAAGAACCGTACGTAGTCCCACAGTGGGCAGGCTGACAGCTCTGCCAGACAGCGTGAGGGTCTGATTTTGAGACTTTGAGATCCTGCTTCTAGACCTGATGCTGGAGCAGAGCAAAAGGGATGTTCCCTCCCTAATGCCTTTTGTGCAGGGACAGGTGAAGTAGGCTGTGCCTCAGTCAGCCAGGCAGGGGGAAGCAGTGAAGGCAGTCAGCATTGTCAGGGCTACGAGTGCTTGTCATGGTTCTTTCCTTCAGTTCTAATCTGGATGACCAAAGACTAGCCCTGTGTTGTGAATAGAAGGTTGTTGATGCTTTCTGGAAGACTTAATTAAGCTCTTTTATGAAGTAAAATTCTGAGTTACTGTTGCTGCTCATGTGGATTGCTTTGCTCTTATTTAAAAAAAAAAAAAGCAGCTTTTTGCATGGATCAGCTGCCAAAGTGTTAGGCTAGTGATTTTTTTTTTTTTTTTAATAACTTTTAAAAAGAAACAAATGAGAGCTACTGCTGCTCTTGGATGGGACCTGTGGTCAGCTCAGACCTACTGAAGGCAGCAACACTTCTAGTCTAGGCTGTGCTACAACTTCAGTGTCCAGCACAGTTTGCTGAGCCTGGGCATCTTTTCCATCTTCTGAAAAAATGGGTTGCGTGTAGAGTTGGGATTAAATCGAGTGTGATTCATTGATCTTTTTCTCAATTGAAAGGTTCTGTTGGTGCCACAAACATGAACGAGCACAGCTCTCGCTCGCACGCCATCTTCACCATCACCATCGAGTGCAGTGAGAAGGGAGTTGATGGGAACATGCACGTGCGCATGGGCAAACTGCACCTCGTGGATCTTGCTGTGAGTAGAACCAGCAGCTGCTGCCACAAACGTGGTGGGCATGGCTCCTCAGGACTGCTAAAGGCTTTGAAGCCTGGGATTCTGTCTGACAGTTGACTTGTAGGGAGTATTCGCTCAGTGCTTTAAATCAGATATGTGCCAGAAAGAGCCTCTAGGGTATGTGGCCTTGTGCTGTATGAGGGCTCTGTTCTTCCTGTGAAGTAATTGTAAATAATACAGACTGCACTGGAAAGAGCATGCTGGATATCAGAGCTGGATCTTTGCAAAGTTTTTTTTTCCAGTGTAATCATCCTAGGGGATTGTGACCATGCAGTTCTTCACTCGTGCGAGTTCCCACCTTCTGTTGCTCACTTTGAACCAAAGTAGTTGTGTTGATAAAAGGCTTTATAGCCCAGATTTTACACTGGAGTACCTTCACTTGGAGAACAGGCAAGGAAGGGAATGCTCAAAGCCCTGTGTGTTGTTACTTTATTTACATGAGGTGTGTTTATGTCACACTCTGAAATTACCTGTAAAACAATTGCAGTGTCACTTCATTCCCTTGACCTTGGGTAGAAAAGACAGGAGCTGAGGTGCCTTGTAACTGCTGACTTGTTTCTAACAATGTTTTCATTCACAGGGACAAAACTGTATTTTTCTCAGTTGTTACCTCCAGCAATTCAGAATTTGCTGGCACTGAAAGCTTCAGTTGGCACCTGTCACTTGTCTTGTTAATGATGTCTGAGGTACATAGCTGGGTCCTCTGGTCATGATGGAGGTGCTTTGTGAGTTGACCATTAGCGATGATTTAAGGGTAGCTATGCTATTTGGAGAGAGATCACATGGCAGGTTTTATTGCAATTGCTTTTGCTTCCTTTTCCTTTTCCAGGGTTCTGAAAGACAAGCAAAAACCGGAGCAACGGGGCAGCGACTGAAGGAAGCTACTAAGATCAACCTCTCTCTTTCTACCCTGGGGAATGTCATTTCTGCACTGGTGGATGGCAAAAGCACTCACGTGCCCTACCGCAACTCCAAGCTTACACGACTCCTTCAGGATTCCCTGGGGGGCAACTCCAAAACCATGATGGTAAGCTCTGAGATGCTTTCATAAATTGCAGCTGTTGATCTGTTCATACAGGGATAGCATAGTGACTTTGCCATGAGAACAGCCTGCCATTTACCTGTTCTTTTCAGAGCATCGCAGTTGAAAAAACCTTTTGCATGCTTTTGGTGTCTCCTGTCTGCACAGGCAAGGATCTAAACAAGATGTAAATACGCATGTGTAAGATGAAGTACAAGCTGTGTTTAGGTAGACAAAAGCAACCTCGATGTAAAAGCAACAGGAAGGCTTGGGAAAGGATGGCAGTACCGTATTGTTGGAGCTAAGGCTGGGTTCCTGTGAGGTCATTTGTTCTGGACTCTGATTCTTTACACTCCATTAATTTGTTCTTCCATATATTAGTGTGCAAACATTGGTCCAGCAGACTACAATTACGATGAGACTATCAGCACTCTGAGATACGCAAACCGAGCCAAGAACATTAAGAACAAGGCCAGGATTAATGAAGACCCCAAGGATGCTTTGCTGCGTCAGTTTCAGAAAGAAATTGAAGAGCTTAAGAAAAAACTGGAAGAAGGTGAGATTCCCCTTCCACCTAGTATTTCTCTCCAGACTGATGTTCGTTCTGCTTCTATGAGAAGTCTTGACCGTTTGAAAGTGTCTCATGAATTCAGTAGCCGATTGCAAGTCATTGTTCTGGCCCTGATGACCCAGCAGGATGCTCCCAGCGCAGGGCCTGGCTTTGCTCGCTAGGTGGCACTTGGCACTAGCATAAGGTGGTGGATTCTGGACTGAATTTAGTGTGTGCTGAGAACCTGAGGGGTCTCTGGGTGTGATTGGATGTGGTGTAGGGACTTAAAGTGCGTGATAACAAAAGCTAAATGTTTTCTTTGCTTGAGGTGAGATCCAGTTCGGACTAAAATGAAATGAATTTGTGTGGCTAGAACTGAGACTGACTATCAAATTAGTGCATAGAAGAAACAAGAAGCTTCTTTAAGCTTTGGAACTTTATGGGCTTGTGATAGTGATTAATCTACCAGCATTCAAGGATCTTTCCAGAAGGATTCTTCCTGAATAATGCCCTTGATATAACATCCATCTCCAAAGATGCTCACAGCACAAAAGAGCTCTAGCAGTAATTCCAGTAAGGCTTACTGCTTGGAACTTCTACCATTAAGGAGAAGCAGGAAATAGCAATGCTTTCTTCAGGGCCTGGAATCTAGACATATCTGTTTCGTCCCTAGTGTGCTACAGGTGACTTCTTAAAGTTGTAGGTACTGAACTATAGAACAGATAGCGTTGTTCATTTGACCATTTTCTGCCTCTGATGGAAATGAAGGTATTGTGAATTTCTTCTAAGCAAACATAATGTAGCATTTCAAGGATACGAGGGTACTTACCATAGTGAGTGGTACTTACCATAGTGAGTGGTACTTACCATACACACTGACTTGGCAGCATTATATGGTATTATATAGCCTTAACTTTCCAAAGCTATTGCAAGCCATCTCCTCGAAAGTTATTGACTTCTGCAGCTACTCATAGGCTGATATCAGACACTGCTGACTTCAGATAAGTGCTGCTGTCACAATAACAAGTCAGTGTTATTGGAAGGCTCTAATGAAGCATCAAAAAGTCATACTTTCTGTTTCTAGGAGAAGAGATATCTGGTTCTGAGACAAGTTCTTCTGAAGAAGAAGATGAAGAGGATGATGGGGAGATTGGAGAAGATGGGGAGAAGCGGAAGAAACGGCGGGGTAAGGCAGCAGAGAATCCTGTCAGTGCCACCAATTTCCTTTTGCCCAGCAGCTTGTGTCAGGAACTGTATGGCCAGGCAGGGAGAAGTGGAGTTGTAGGGCTGCCCTACTGCCGCTGCAATCATCATGCCTCCCTAGAAACACGGCTCTTTGGTGCCGTCTCTGTAGCCGACGGCTCCGCTCCTGTGTGGTATCTGCTTCCACTTGGGTAGCTGTGCTTGTGGTGACATCCTCTTCTGTGGTGGTTCCCTGGTTGCCGCAAGGTGGCTGCGTATGGCTTGTGACTCATGTTGTGGAACTTCCCCTCTCATTGAGATGGGAGGAGGAAGACAGCAAAAATCAGAGGTCGGCAGATGTATTCCTTTATAGCCATTCTCATGGCTTAGGCGGGGATTTTGGCTGCGGTGGAGGCAAAGGATTCATCTGTCCTGTGGATGTTCAGTAACTGGCTTCATTCTGGCATCCTATTTTATGCTGATAGAGGAAAAACTTGACCTTTGGGGGTGTCTGTGTGCTAGCTGAAAAGCTAAATGGGGGCCACACATCCCTTATTTGGGGACACTCTGGAAATCCCATGGCAAAGTCTACTTTATCCTACACTGTGATAAACTAGCACGTAGTGTCTAAGCCCCAGAGGATGCTGCTGAGCCTAGAATTGCAGGTCACTGTACCATGGAGAACTGTAGGGAGCCTGCTGCATCCCCTGAGCCTTTGTTTATTCATGGGGAGTAGGGAAGTCAAGCCCAGTGCTGTGCTTTAATTCCAATTTGTCCAGTAAATGCTGGCATTTAAACTGACTGTCTTAAATCACTCACATCTCTTTAAACAGCATTCCTGCATTAAGTAGATTCCCCTTCATTCTGATGTCTGTCCAAGCAGAATCTAAATGACACCTTCCAAGCCTTGTGTTGGTTGTAACACACCATTTTACTTCATTTTTCCCTGCTGGTGCTTTCTAGAAGCAGGAGGATCAACAGATTGACCATTCTGTCCATCAAGGAATAATTTCTGCCCAAGTCTGCCACAAGAGAAAGCTCTCTTTAAAATACTGCTTGAAAAGAACAGAGGGGAAATAGCTGTCGCTTAATGAGAGCAGCCTGTTTGGAAGTTAAGTTCCCTAAGTAAGGCTGTGCTCAGCAGGAGCTTGCACAGTAACTGTCCCTGTGTAAGCTGATTCTCTCTTCTAGACTGGGAAGTGTACATTGCCATGTACGTAACACTGGGAAGGATCCTGGTCACCGAATCTTCTGTTACTGTAGATATCCACAGCCACCTTCACTGTGATCTGTTTTTCTGTGCTATTGCTTGAAATGGAAGCAGCCTTGGCATGAGATTTTAAGCTATAGGCTTGTTAAGATGGGTTTTAACTGAACTGTCTCTCTGAGCATGCCATTCTGTGCTGGGAAACGATGGCTTTGCAAGCTGAGTCTGGGGGGGATTCTAGCAAATGCTTCCTAATGAGAACTCTGTGCCTTTTAAAACTATTTTGCTGTCTCTTCTGGGTTTCTTTTCCTTAGAACTAACTTCCCATCTGCATGTTTCTTCCTCTCTGGGTTTTTCTGTGGGACTCATTTCTGTTTTCCAGGCAGTAGCAGCAGCAGTAGTTCAGACTCCACATGCTCTGTCATAGAGAAACCTCTGGATAAGTCCTTCACTAGTGAGTGGGAGCTCTTAAGTCCTTTAAGCTTTGGCCTTTCCATGATCTGTGCATTTCATTTTGCAGTGCTGCACTTTTCCCTGCTATGTCTATTGGAAGATAAACCTGAACCTACAATTTGGCTAAAGCATGCCTTTCCTTTGTTGCTTTCACGCTTGAAATGGTGGCTTGATGTGCACATTGTCAGCAAGACGGGGATGGCGAGCGGTTCAGTAGGCTTACTTAACAAGATTGAAAGACATTTGGGAAACTTAGGTTGGAAGCTTGCAATTCCTGTTTTAAACAATCCCTGTAAAATGTCAGGAAAAAGCGTGAGCAGCTTTCCTCTTGGAAGGTGTTACGTTATATTGGATGTTGCCTTCCTGAAACTAAGTTTGGACTGAGTGAATGAACAGTCAGCAGTTAAGCTACACTAGTTTTGTACTTAGAAGGAAAACTTCTTAACAGTTCGGTTTTATTTTGGCAGACCTTCAAAGAACAACCCAAAACCAGGGCAGTGGTTGCTGCTTTTTCTTCAGACTGCCTCATGAGGTTAAGTTTTTGGTTGCCACAGGAGGGCATAGTTGAGAAGAGCAAAGGGTCTTGATTTCTAGCAGCGAGGAAAGTTTGGTCTGCTCCTGATCAGAGGAAGAAAGCTGTTCCTTTGAAAGACTTACAGTCAGGGTTTGCTTTTAATCACACAAACAAAAAAATCATATTTTGAACTTGTAGGAGCTTTACAACAACCAGTCGTTGTGGTTGTAGTGTTTAGCTGTAATCCACACTTCTGTGTGTGGGGAACCTGGGAAGTCCTGCTGTGTATACCTAACCTTTAGTTTACACCTAAATTAATGTTAGTAGCTGTGTTAGTATAAAGCATCAGCTCAGGGGAAATGGTCACAGGTAAGAAGGCTCACAGCCTAAGTGTGACCTGTGGATAATGGTGATACACTTGGAAACCTGCTTGCTTCAAACTTGCTCTTTCGAAGCTTGCTCAAAACCTGAATATTTCTCTTTGGATGAGGACAGTTAACAGCAAACCACTGATGGATGGATCAGTCCATCTCCTTCAAGTCTGAAGACATTGCAGAGGTTGCACTGAGCTTTTGTGGTTCATCTGTGTGGTTTGGGATATTAACTGTCCTCACGTGTAGCCCTTCTGCATGTGGTGCCTTTCATCTTTTCCCTGTCCTGCTTTTTTTACTGCATTTGCTTCAATAACCAAACCTGGCTCTATACCTCTATGGAAGCATCAGTTACTGCCAATTAACCTACTAATATCTTATGTGCCATTGTCATTATCTTGCAAGAAAATTGGCTGGGTTTAACTTGGTTAAAACTTAAGTCTTCTGTATGCTAAGATTTTGCAGGTAATTTTAAGAGAATTGGCTGCCTTCAGGAAGGGGAAAAAACGCTAGGTCTGTTAATGAAGAAGACACCTCCAATCTGTTTCTTAGGGCATGATCTTTGCGGCAGGCTCGTAATGTTACGTTAAGTTCTGCATTGCATTGGATGGGCAGAGGAATGCAGGAGTGAGTGCAAACTATCCTGGACATGCAAAGGACGCTGCAGAAACATTCTGTGCTTTAGCACAAAATGGTGATTCGTTAATATTCACTCTGATGGGGTTTCATTTCTTAGTGATTATTCCGTTTTCTACTCTAGAAACATGCATGTAAAATCAGTGCTTGTTCTGATGCTGATGAACTTTGTTCCAAATGATCAAGCAATAATATATTTTATTTCCTCCGTTTTATGTGTACGCTGCCTCTCTGCGATGTGCTTTCTGCTTCCTCTTAATGCAAGATCAAGCAGGTTGGTGTCATTTTGATTTTTCACTAATAGATTTTTCAGCCCCTCAAAATACAATTGCACAGCTCCTTCAAGCTCCTCCCACTCAGTGTAGTTCACTGGTCTCCAAAACTGAGAACGCACAGGGCTGTGTAACAGTATGTTGCAAACCTTTATCTGCTTCACCTCTTCATGTGATGATCTCTGTATAACACTTCTTGAAATAAAACTTCCAACTTGGGTTACCTGAAAACTAACTGGTGAGGGATTTTCTCTGCAGATCCAGAAATGAGTGTTAGGGATCTAGCTCCTGAATTTAGCAGATGGAAGCCAAGGTATTTTCTGCTGTAGCGCTGAGGTCCTTACAGTGCTCTTGTGTGCATGCATGCTTACAGGTGCCAGTGTATCTTTGCCTCTGCTGGAGGTTATAAATGAATATAAACAAAAGTGAATGGCACGAAGACTGAAGGGAAATAAGCCTTTTAGTGGGCAACAACATTTTCAAGTGTACTTTGACCATATGCATTACATCACTGTGAAAGTCTCTTAATACTAGACAGTTTCTATTAGTTTCTAGGCATCTGGATTCTGTGGGTAATTCTCTCATGTCCAGAGAAGAGCAAAACAAAGTGAAGGGTTTGTCATTTTGTAACGAGTAAAGGGGGATGTAAAACTTGTGGGAGACTTGTGGTTTTGGGGAGGTCTGTATAGGCTGGGTTCCAATCTTCTTTTTTCCTTCAGTTGGTCTAATCTGCGTAATTAAGGCATCCAGGATTCTGACTCAGGCTTCTCTTTAGGCAATGTTTCTTTTCCACAAGTATTCTTCATGTATTTTGTTGTAAGTACTGGAGGCAAATAAGCAAACATTAAAATGGGATTTGAAAGACTGAGATGTGCTCAGCTTGGAATCCATGAGTTCTGACATCGATAACTGCACTTAAACGTTGAATTAAATTTTAACTGGAGGGGAAGAAAAATGCTGTGATACAGAGACTGTATTATTTTTGTGAAATATTTTTTTCCCCACTCTTTGGAAGGGAAAAAGAAAGTTTCCCCTGATAAGATGGTAGAGATGCAAGCAAAGATTGAAGAGGAGAGAAAAGCTCTTGAAACTAAGCTTGATATGGAAGAAGAAGAAAGAAATAAAGCCAGAGCTGAACTGGAGAAGAGAGAAAAAGATTTGCTTAAAGCTCAGTGAGTGCCCTGCTCTGAGTAGTTTTTGTGGTGTTGTGGGTTTTTCCTCCCTTAATCTACAAGTCAGATATCAATATGTGGAGATGCATGGTGAGATGCTAGTCAAGCTTTGTGTAAGCTGAACATCAGCTCTTGCTGTTATCAGAGTGAAAGAGGAGCTTCCTCTGTGCTTGCAGATTAGAGCAGGTAGCAAAAAGAAACTTCATTCTTCTACCACTCTTCTCTTAGCCTTATCTAGTTGAGATGGCCTAGAAACTTAAAACGAATCCTCCGAGCTCTGGAGGCCAGTGAAGAGTAGCAGGACTGCTGTACTGCTTGCTAGTGGGCAGTAGCTGTATAGCAAAGTGGGTTCCTTACAGCCCATGACCATGTTGTGGGCACGCTCAACAGCTGCTGGCGTTCCTGGCTTATCTCTCAGCTGCAGTGTTGTGACCTCGTTTCGCTTGCTTCTGTTCCATTACAACCTGTTGCAGTCTGTCTGCATCCCAGCATCACTGTGCTGGGCCCTTGGGGTGGGAGGGAGCACCCTGGGTATCCTGGTAACACCACTGGCGCCTGGCAGCCCCTGACAGAGGGAAACTGCAGCAGGAGAGACTCGTTTGCTGAGTTGGTTTTGTTTGCATGAAAGTGATGGGAGCTGGAGTTAAGGAAATCCCTGTGCACTGCCTCACCCCTACTTTAAAGCCTTTGCAGCTAGGCAAGTTTTTCAAGCCCTATAAGTGCTGTCTGGGATGTAAAAACTGAGCTGAACCTGGCTGCCTTGTGAGCACTTTAAGACAGGAAGTTCCCAACTTTACCTGTCTCTCTCTAGACAAGAGCACCAGTCCCTGCTGGAGAAACTGTCTGCGCTGGAGAAGAAGGTGATTGTAGGAGGGGTGGACTTGCTGGCAAAAGCAGAAGAACAAGAGAAGCTTCTAGAAGAATCAAATATGGAGCTGGAAGAACGAAGGAGGAGAGCAGAGCAGCTTCGCAAAGAACTCGAGGAAAAGGAGGTGGGTTGTGCTCCCAGCTATCTGGAAGTGGTAGGACACTCCATTACTTGTCTTTGCCTCTTCAAGTGGGTGAAATATGACTCTACTCTGAAGCTCAGTAGAAATCAAACATTTTAGAGGCATGTGTAACCAGTGCTCACCTGCAGGACAGTGTGATCATTGTGAGTGTCAGCCAGCCTGGCTAAGCCAGGTGTCTGTGCCCTTGGCAAATGCTTTGTTTTGTCCGAGTTACTTCCCTTCCTGTTCATATTGTTGCAAATATTTTCTTTGATTGTGCTAATGTGTGGATGTCTGTTAAATGTTGTGTACAGCAAGAACGCTTGGACATTGAGGAGAAGTACACCAGCCTCCAGGAAGAAGCACAGGGAAAAACAAAAAAACTGAAGAAAGTTTGGACCATGCTTATGGCTGCAAAATCAGAGGTCAGTGTTCTGAAGCATTCAGCTTGTGGTGGAGGAGCTGTAGGAGGAAAGAGCAAGCCATCAGCTTTGTCACTCTGGTTAGGGTGCTACAGTTTAGAAGTGGCTGTGTGCTGCCTGCTTGGTTTATGCATTGTAAAGAGCAAATTAAGCTTCGTGTCAGATCTGCGTTTTGGGTACATTGTAGAGCTTTTCCTCAAGGAAAACCATTGGTTATTTCTGAGCAAAATAGAAGTTGTCTGGCAGTCCAGTCTCCTGCTTTGCAGCTGCTCAAACCCACATCTCTTAGCTTGCTCCTCTTTGTGCATGTTGCTCTTATTCTCTCTGTCACATTCAATCAGTCACTTGGTTGGTATCCAGCCTTCCTGATTCATGAAAAGCACGTTTTTGTCTTCGGGAGCTGAGATTTTCCTTGGGATGTTGCCAGAGATGGAACTTGTTGGCACGCTTTGCCTGCTGTTGGTATTTGAAATGACAGAAAGCCGATTTCATCTTTCCTGAGACCAAGAACTTAATGCTGTTTTTAACCATCTCTGAGCTAGAACGTTTAGGAGCGTTTATTCTTGAGAGACATATTCTAGTACTTCTAACTAGAGTTTGCTTTCGTTTCCCAAAAACATACAGGCAGAAAACAATTCTTTTAAGTTGTTATTGTGTCATATTAGTTCTGACCTCTCATATGCTTTGTCCACAGATGGCAGATCTGCAACAAGAGCATCAGAGAGAGATTGAAGGCTTACTGGAGAACATTCGGCAGCTGAGCAGGGAACTTCGTCTTCAGATGCTTATCATAGACAACTTCATTCCTCAGGACTACCAGGTACAGATGGGGAGCTGAAGCCTTTGATGTGGTCATATACAGTATTCACTTAGCCCTCCAGCATTATTTAGTCCACCAACAAATGGAATGAGTTGGCTTCCAAAGGCAGTGACAGGCAACTTGACTGACACTCGTCTGTTAAGCTGTAATACAAATGTGCATGTGTGGAAAGTCCTTACTGCTGTTGTGATTGCATCGACATAATGGTAAATCCATGCTTTGGTGGGAACTTCATTGTGCACAGCTGATGTTTTTCTGTAGCCTTCAGACTATAAAATAGGGGTTTTGAATGTGGTATGGCTGTCTGGATTAAAAATACCTTGGAGTGGTCAAGGCTGTCCTTAAGCAACTTGTCTAGGCTGTTGGGATGCATCTGGAGTGTAGGTTGTGCAACTCTAACAATGACCTTATCTTCTGTCTAGGAAATGATTGAGAACTATGTTCACTGGAATGAAGACATTGGAGAATGGCAGCTGGTAAGCTAGCTTACATACAAGCTAATGTTAGCATAAGCTTTTGAGGGGTTTAACTGAGCCCAGAGATAAACTGATGGAGCTGTACAGTGCTCAGTAAAACTGATTACATTTCACTAATGGGCATTTCTGTTTTTTTTAAGAAATGTGTTGCATATACAGGAAACAATATGAGGAAGCAGACTCCTGTCCTGGACAAGAAAGAAAAAGATGTGAGTAACTCTTAATGAGCTTTTATTGAACTGCGTAGGTTTAAGTTCTGCTTTCTGTGCATTCCCTTTGTATTCATGGGAAAACTTCAACTTCAGTTTTCTTGTTGGAAGTCTTTCTGGTGTTCCAAAAGAGCAGCTGATCAACCTACTAAGTAGTTCTGGTATTTTGTTATTTTTCTTTAGCCCTTTGAGGTGGACCTTTCCCATGTTTACTTAGCTTACACTGAAGAAAGCTTGAGGCAATCTCTGATGAAGCTAGAGAGGCCGAGGACTTCAAAGGGAAGATCCAGGCCCAAGACTGGTCGAAGGTGAAGAACTTTGGAGTATCTGTATGTAATGGGGAGTTTTCCCAGGGAAAGGCTTAAGCTGGTGTCTGCAAACTTGAGACAAATGTTTGATGACTTACAGCTAAGAGAAAATGCTAAAATTCTGCATGATAGAAGGGTTACTGATGTCAAGCGTAGTAGAACCAGGCTGAAATCTTTCACTGTGGTAAAATATTGTCCAGAAAGTTTTGTCTGCGGGGGGGTTTTGATTTCCTGCTTTCACATTCCCCTCTTCTGGCTGCTTGTTTTTATTTCACTGATTGCTGGTTCGACACACTGACAGCACGTGTGTTTTATTGCTGGAAAGTTGGGGAAGATTTCAGCATGGCTGTTCTGCTGCTTTGTGACAAGGTCGATGATGTGTAGTTCTGACCTGAGAAGTGGCTGCTCCCTGCCTTTCCTGAACAGTATAATGATGTGTGTGGTATTATTGTTTTTTTCTTTTCCTTTCTGCTCTCCAAACAGAAAACGTTCTGCAAAGCCAGGCGCTGTCATTGAGTCCCTGCTGCAGTAGGTGTGACGTGTTCAGAATTGCCGTAAAAAGCAGTGAGTGGGAAAGGTTTGGCCAGAATATGGAAGTTGAGATGGCACAGTTTGAAGTGGCTGTAGAATCCATGCCTTGCTGGGATGGAGATTTAATTTAAAAAAAAATATATGTATTTTTCCTTAGTTGCCTGTATACTGTATGTTATATTAACATAATATTAAACTGGTATATTTTATGGTTGTGGAATTCCATGTGTTAAACGATGTGTTGTGCAGGGAACTATTGTTGGTAATCCTTGAAATGTAGAGGAAATGAGGATTCTAGATGTGTTCAAGTACTAGTCATTATAGCTCCAAATGGTCGATGGAATCCTAAAACTTAATGCTGGTAAATCTGTGTCCTGCTTTGCACATCACTGGCAGCTTTCACTGTTGTCTTCTGTTGCACTGATCCGTTTGAATGTGGTTGCTGCAAACCTTTGAGTTAAGAGCGTCCAGCCTTTTTATTTCAATATTTCACTGTAGTTATTAAGCTGATCATGTTGTGTATTTGAGACACAACTCTCTTCATCTGCAGTCTTGCTGTACAAAAAGTAGTTGGGTAGAAGAGTACTCAGAGCTATATTAGCCTGAGGTTTGTGGGAAGGGACCATGCTCTGTTTAAGTGCAACACTAGTAGTCTAATGCTTTGATTTTTGTCTATTTGTGTGATCTGCTGGCAACGTGGAGAGTGAGGGCTGATGCACAGATAAGAGAGCTGTTTTCCTCCTCTGAAGGCTGCACTGCTGCATTGCTTTGGCTGCTTTTCATGCTTCTGAGCTGGAAGTGGTTTTAATTGGTGTGAATTGTTTTGTCGTGGTCTGGACAGCAGAGATTATTTGAGGGGAAGGCTTTAACACCAGGGGGACTGAACACTATGGCTCCATTTGTCTCACCCCTGGCCGCAGCTGAGGATGAATTTCTCCTGTGTTAGAATAGGTGTGAATTTCCCAGTTGTCCCAGTGCTGCAACATCCCCTGAAATAGCTGATGCTGTTCGTGTCTGTGTGCACCATCTCCTCTTTCTGACTGCTTTGAGGGGAAAGAAATCTGGTCTCTGCTGATAACCATTTATGGTGGCTGCTCTTTTTCTTTGCTTTTTGTGCTGCTAACAGACACTGAACCTCTCAATGCATTGCTTTTGTGTCACAGAAATGAATCTGCTTTGAGCTGTGTGCTGCATCAACTCCTGCTGGAGCGCAGCAGTTGCAGGAACTTTAGCAGTTCCCTTGTCAGTGTGGTGTTAATTAGGTGTGATTTTCATTTAATCTCCGTGTATCCTAGAGTTACAAAAAAAGCTGTGATTAATAACAGACTGAATACTTGAGCTTGGTAGAAGGAGCAAGACAACTCCTTGGTGTCTCATGCCTGATCGTAGCCATGTCTGCAATTACCAGAACATTCCTGTGAAGTGCTGACTGCACTTGGAGCAGATTGCCCTTTCTCATGGTCACAGTGTTGAGCTGGATGCACCTCACCAGTCTGTAGCAGCTCCAGCTGTGACAGTTACCATGGGTCTTGCAGGGGCACCTGTTGATCTGGAGCTGCATTCAGTGCAATTTGAAAAGAGCTCTCAGCTTCCCCGTGTGCTTTTTCTGAAGTGTTTCTTCAGATTGTGCTGGGGGAGGAGAACCTGGTCGTCATCTTGGGGGAGAGGTGAGCAGGCCTGGCTTTGTCACCCAAAGCTACGACTGCAAACACTGGCAGTTCTTTCTGGTCCAGCATTTGGGAAGAGGTGAGGAGTCAGGATTTTTGTCTGATCTAAAGTAGTCAGATTTCTTCTGGAGGAGTTCACCTTGTTTTGAATGTGCTCCAGCTAAGAATATCGTGTTGAATTTGACAGCTAAGACAGACTGAAAATATCTCAAATGCCAGTTTAGAAACAGGCAGGGATGTTCTGGACTGAGCAGAAAACAAGGGCAAACTTTATTTCCTCTTGTTTAATGTTTTGCTGTGCTTTACTCTGTTGAATAATCGGTTCTTAAGGGTGTTTCTCCTGAACTGTACTTCAATTCTCTGAATTCTTCACTCAGCAGATCATCAGCAAATGAAAACTGGGACTGTGCATCCTGACTCTGCATTTACAGCACGTAAAATCTAACTAGGAAGGGTTGAATTCCTGTTATTTCTGCTGAAAACAAAAGTGCTCTGCATGTTGTAAAGACCCATGAGGCAGAGAAAAACTTCAAGTAAATAATGGCACTGCTTTGTAATTAGATGGGAGGAACTGGTTGATTTCCTGGTACAGGGGCTTGTTTTGGAGAACAAATTCTCTGCTCTTACCAGAGGACTTTGTTTTGATGTAGAACAGTCTTCATGATGATCTGTCAGCTTGGCTTACATTTTCACTGTGCTGTTTTGCTTAAGTTTTGGAAACTTCCTTTCAAAACAGAGCCCTGCTTGCAGGTTTGCTGTATGGGCCCTCTCTGCAGCTCTGGACAGTCTGCAATAATGTCAAATGTCCCTTTACCATGTCTTAAAGGAGAAGGACTTAAGTTTGTGTGTGTTTTTGATGGCTCAGTTGATGGAGCCATCTTCATCCCAGGCCCGTCCATGCCACTTAACTCTAGCATGCATATAATGTCTATTCATTCCTTGCATCTCGTCACCAAAGCTTCCCCTCGTTCCAGCAAATCGCAGAGAGTTTCTCTGGCCGTGTTGTTTAATGCTGTGTAAATGAATCATTTCAGAATTAACTTGTTGTGGAACCTTTCTTCAGGTTCAAGGGAAGTGAAAATGGTCCTTAGTGCCTTTCAGTAACTAACTCAGTCTGCACACCCAGCTCTCACCTTTCTCAGCAGTTCTGCTTAGCTGGTTCTGTACAGAAGAAAAACTGCTTATCTGTTTGTATAACGTGTCTGGCTATTTATTTGTTTTCCAACTGTTTATTTTAATATCCTTTGTTGTATGGTTAAATTTTATTCCCTACGCTGTACATATCAGTATTGTGTTCCTGGAGCATGAAATAAAATTGTTGATTCCTAGTTCTCCCTCTCTACCTGTTTTTCAAGGAACTTCATCCATACAGCCTCTTTGTAAATCCTTTGAGAGGCAGAAGTGACGTCAGGAGGGGCAGCTGGAGCAGTCTGCAGAGCTGTAGGTGGGTTTGGGGTGATGCTGCTGCAATGGTCTCTCATGAGAGCGGGATCAGCAAGACTGCAGAAAAGAGGAGGACTGGGAGATGCGCCCCATGGAGCAGCACCACTGCTGTGAGGGTCCTGAGCTGCCCTGGCAGCAGGAGAGTCTGAGCAGGAGCCACTGCACTGAACCGCAGGCAGTGCTGTGCGTGGCCCTGCCTTGTGTGCGTGCACTGAACAGCTGCTACTGATGAGCAGAAGGCTTCTCACCCTGACCCTTTTCCTTGAGCTGCAGTGCAGGCCTGGTGCCCCCTGCACAGCATGAAGTCGTTACCTGCAGTGATGTTTCCTTTGCCTTGCATTTCTTCTGGAAGATGTCTCAGCCTGCGCACGCAGCAGGTAACAGGTTTTCTGTGGTCTGCTAACTCTGCAGCTTCCCTGAGTATTCTGACTCAGTTGATGCACAAACCAAACCCTTCAGTCCTGGGACTTTCCAAGGCCCTCTCCTACACCATGCCAAAATTGCAGACTGATAGACCTGTGAGGCTGCCTCCTGCTATTGGGGAAAGCCTGACCACTACCACTGCTTTGAGTTGTCCCTTCCATGGCTTGCTTTTGCTCTGTTCTTTCCCTATTCTTTCAGCTGCAGCCTCTTTACTCTTGGGCCACCAAGGGCTATGCCAGAGCATTAAATGAGGGGGGAGTCAAATATATCAAACACTTAGCAAGGGACTTGCTCAATCCCATACTCATTTTACAGCCCTCCCATCTCTCTAGCTTTAGCCACATGGTTCTGTGAAGTGTGGGCACTGCTTAGAGCCTGGCTTCTCTTGGGCTGTTTCTAAGCAAAGATTCACTCCTTGCAGGTCCACTTCCATCAGTACCACTGCAGTCTGAACCCTATTCACCACTCCAGCACAGTTTCCTATCAACTTACACTGCAAATCTGCTCCCCTCTTTCCTCTAGAAACAGTCAGCAAATTTACTCAAAAAAATATATATATTTATTTAAAGAATCATTATAAATAATCTTTGGAAATACAGCATCAAATATAATAATCAAAAAGAAAACAATAAATTCTCCTTTACAAGTCGTTGGAGGAATCCATGTAGGTCCCTGAGGAACTTCTCCATTGCAGTAGTGTTGCCTGCTGCTATGGGACACGGTGCCTGCAATGGAAAACAAACTGTGAAGGTGTTGGCCCAGTGCCCTGGTTTTCCTACACAGACTTGGCTGAGAGGAGAACTGGGCAGAGCATGGCTGCAAAGTGCTGAGCAACGTGCCCAGAGTGTGTGTGTGTGTCAAATAAATGGAGCTGTTGGTGAGCAGCAGAACCCCAGGGTGCAGCAGAGCATCCACCTGCATGCGGTGCCTTGGGCTGAGGGCAGTGGGCTGCCCTGGGGACAGGCAGAGCCTTACCTTGAGGGTGCTGCTGGCATTCAGGAGCTGATGCATGTTGAGGAAGAGGCCCTGCAGGTTCTTGTGGCAGTGCTGGCTCTCCCAGATAATTGTGGAAGCTTCACACAAGAGCTCAGTTCTGCTCTTCATCTGCAAGAAAACGCATGTGGCTGTTTAAGAGACTGCTCTGTTCAGCTTTTCAGTGGGCTAGAACAGCACAAAGAATGCATTTCTAGTCTAAGGGGTAGGTGGCTCAGCCTCCCCCCCTCCTCTGACACCAGGCGCAGCTCAGCCACATCAGCTCTGGGCCTGAGCTTCGTGCAGCTCTGCAAATCCTCAGCCCCAATGAGGTGAGAAGAAAAGCATCCACAGTGGTGAGGAAATCATTCGGTTGCTTTCCTGGTAGAATGCTGCCTTCCTGATGCTGCCTGTGTTGGGAAGTGCGGTGGGTAGGTGGGAGCTGCTGCTGCTCCTGTTTCTTCAGCTTGCACCTCAAACGCCTCCAATAAGCAGCTGGCCCGGGTCTGCAGCTGTCTGACACTTGCCCAAACCCTGCTCCCTTCTCCCTCTGCCCAGGGACCCAGCTCTGCTCCTTGCTTTGTGTCTGCAGGGGGCCCTTTCTGTGAAAACAGGAACTCTGGGGCTGGGCTCTCGCCTTAGGCAGCAATTCTGAGAGCAGAAAGAGGCTTTATTATCTGCCATCGAATCTTCTGCTAACTGAAGAGCCTTCCTCCAGATAAAGGACTAAAGAGGGATAGCACACCTAACGGTGCCTGAGGCACAGCACCATCAGTGAGTGTGGGTGTCTGAGAGTGACACGAGGCTCCAAGGCAAAGGAAGAAGTTCCTCTCTTCCTTTCTGAAAACCCCGCACAAATGAGCTCTGTGCTGCTGAAGCACACGCTCAGCACTGTGCTCCCTGTGGCCCTTTTGGCTGTAGAAGAACCCAAGTGGTAATGGTACCCCACAGCACTGGCAGGCTCCTCATCCCATGCAGCTCCCACTGCAGACTCCATCCTGCTCTCCCAGCACCTCCCACAGCCCCCTCTACCAGCTCTTGATCTGGCTTTCCTCTTACCTTACTGTCTTCAAAGATATCTGTCACATTCATCTTGCCACAGGAAGCCTTGAGAGAAAGAGAAGAGAGGAACAATATAGGGAGATTGATAACAGCATGAACAACACCTGCAGTCCGTGCGTCTGTCTGCATCTGCATGGAGATCTCAGTGCAGCTCAGCCCCCCTGGCCCAGTGCTGGGCTCCGTACCTCTTTCTGCATGTCCTTCACTATGCGGATGCTCTCCCTCAGCAGCACTGCTGACTGTGAGCGCAGTGTGCACACAGCCCCGGGGCCGGCCAGCAGCACCAGCAGTGCCAGCAGGGTGGGCAGCGAGGAGCTCATGGCCTCTATGGCACACCTGTCTGTGCTTTTCTGGGCGAAACATCTCAATTTATGGCTTTAAAATTGCTGAAACAGAGGGAAAAACTGATTTTTTTTTTTTTTTTTTTTCCCTTATCTGCACTTTCCAAAGTTGCTCATATCCATTTAGGAGAACAGGTCTTTTTTGTAGAAGTCAAGATTTTCTTCTGATCTCGCATTACGTTTCAACGTAGGAAATTTCCACCGTTCAGATAACGATGGTAGGAGGCAGATGGTGCAAAAAGAAAAGTCCGTGCAGCTTTTTGCTTCTTCGTTTCTCCGTATCCCAGGACTTTCTCTCCCCGTGGGGTTTGGGCGCCGTGAGCTGCACTGAGGACCGCAGATGCGACCGCGCGCAGATAACAGAGCAAAGCTGCTTTTTTTTCCTCTAAATATCCTGTGAGTGCTTCCATCGCTCGCCTCTCCCGTCATTTGACTATCTCCAAATCATGCAAAGCACCCTTGATGTGCACACAGTTTGGTTTAGGTCGTTATCTCCACCTGCACAGGGAGAAACAGAAAGCACTGGGTCAGCATGGGGCACCGGGACCTCCTGACCTGCAGGGAGCTGAGAGACACTGAGGAGTGACAGAGCTGAGAGACATAGAATCACAGCTTGGTTTGGGAAGGACCTCTAAAGGCAACCTGTGAGTGACTTTTAGTCACTCCACAGCGAGCATCCCCAGCTCTGCCAGTGCTCAGAGCCCCCCAGCCTGACCTGTGCTGTCTGCAAGATGGGCAGCACTGCTTCTCTGGCCAGCCAGCGCCTCACCACCTTTAGCATGAACAACTTCTTCCTTGTAGCCAATCTAAATCTCCTCTCTTTGATTAGAGAGAATTTCCTCTTGCCCTGTCCCAACAGACCCTAAAGAGTCTGTCCCCTCCTTTCCCCCAGCCCCTTTAGGTCCTGACTGGCCACAGTGAGCTCACCCCAGAGCCACCTCTTCCCCGGTCTCTCGGGCCCTGTGACACCCATGAGGACGTGGGGACATGTGGCTTCATGGCTTTGCCCCAGTGACACAGAGCCAGGGATGCCATGTCCCACCCTGGCACCACCCTGGGAGGTGACAACACCAGCGCTGGTGGCATCACTGCAGGAAATAATGCTGAGAAATTAGCTGAGCTGGGAAACTTCGGAGTTTTGTAATAACTAATAGGTATTTTTCTAACTCAAATAGCAACTTGCCATCAGATGCTTGATAAGAGTCTGCGAGCTCTCCATTAATTCAGGAGCAGCCAGAGTAAGTTTGTTTGTCTAATTATGCCCCGGCTGAAGGCAGTGCTGCTGACTCAGAAGGAACCTCTGTGAGGGATCAGCAAGGGGAGCACCGTGCTGCTCCCTGCAGGCACAGACAGCTCAGATGTCAACAGTGCAGGGGAGAAGGGGACGGGGTGGCACAGGGTGGGCATCCCGAGGGGCAGCAGCAGCAGCAGGCAGTGTTTTCTGCAGTGCTCACAGTAGAAAGCTCTAGAACCGGAGTTGATTAAAAGAAAAATGCCAAATTAACAGAAAAATGTAACCTTTGAGCTACTTGAGCTGAATCACTGTGGAAAACCACATCAGTGATTGCTGGGCAAGGTGCAGGGCAGGTCAGACTCCTGCATCCCTTCCCAAGGGGGGGATGCAGCAGCAGTGGTGCTGCTGCCTATGGCCACAGTGTGACCCCATTGTGCCCTGCAGGGCCAGAGGTCCCAGAGCCCAGCTGTGCTCCTGGGAAGCTCCCCGAGCTCAGCCCACCTCTGCTGCAGGCCTTGTCTCCAGACCTTCCCCATCCCACCCATCTGCCCTCAGTGCTCTGGGGACATGCCATCTCTACTCACAAGTCTGTGTTAATTGATGGCCAATTTGCACACACCTGCGTGTGGTTGCTCCTCTCTCCTCCTGCACTGCTCTCATCCTGCCGGGATGAACCCACTGCCATTCCCATGGAAGCGCTGCCAGCTGCTCCTCCACAGTGTGGCTGGAAACATCCCACACCACGGGGACTGTGGTTACCAGGAATGCCAACACTGGTGTCTCCATGGCCTCGCAGTGTGGCACAGCCAGCAGCTCAGAATCATTGAAGTGTAGGAGTTGGAAGAGAACTCTG